GCATCAGAATCTTTTTCACCTTCTGCTTTTCTTTCTGGAACCTGTCACTATTCTCTTGTACAGCATTCACTCCCTTTCCAGCAGGTGTAGAACCAACCCACAAAAACCCTTTCTTTTGCCTTGGACCTTATCATTTTATGGACTATCATTTTATGCCTTTCCTTTTCCCTAGTTAAAAAACTAAAGTGTTCTCTTCAGTTACTGACTGTTCCATTTCCTTACCTCACACTTGCTGTGAAACACCTTGAGTTTGTGGTTGTGCTCACAAATTCCTGAGATGTTATGCCTTTCTCCTGCATTCCTAGGGTTTCTTTAGTCCTCATCCATCATTTATTAATTCAGCAAATATTTGAGCAGCTCTTATTAATGTCAGACACATTTCGAGGTGCTAGAGACACTGCAATGAATAAAAACAGGTAAATATCCCTGCATTTTTGTGTGTGTTTGTGTGTGTGTATGTGTGTGTGTGAGAGAGAGAGAGAGGCAACTACAAAAATTAAGCACAAAAAGGATATACACAGTTTCAGAGTGGAGGAGTTTACTATTTTAGATAAAGTGACTGAGGAAACTTTCAATGAACAGATGACTTTTAAGGAAAATTCTGAAGGAGGTAAAGGGAAGTGAGTCATATAACTATCTGGGGAAGAACATTCTAAGCAGAGCAAAGGGTAAATGTACAATTCCCAGGGCAGGAATATTTCTGATGTTTTTGAAGACCAGTGATGGCAGCTAGTCTTCACCTTTCTTGAACTCAGTGACATTTGGCATTTGTCCCCCTGTGGTATTAGAAATATTCTTCATCTTTTGCTTTGGGGGCTGTAACCTGGAAGGGATGACCGGTCTGCTTTTGGCTTTCTCTGTCCCTTTATTGACTTTTCTTCTTTGTGCCTGCCTTTTAATCTTCTTTCCCTAGAGGACTTTGTGTTACTCTCCCTTTCCCCTGTATGTACTGTGTGTTGCCAAATTGCATTCTTAGGTGATGCTTCTGACTGATTACTAGATATCTAAACCAGGGGAGCAAAAATTAAACAAGTTTAACATCTGAATTGTTACCTTACCCCTTCTCACCCCCACAGAAATCCCTTATCCTACTCCCCATTTATTTCCCATGTTCATTTTTGACTTAACAACTCAGACAGTTGCCCAATTTGGAAAACTTGTCATCTATGACTTTGTTACCCATCAGCCTCTACTTACTTTATGATTGGTCATCTTATCAACCTCATTCTCTATCCTCTGTGTCTGTCTCCTTCAGCAACACACACCTGCCATAATCAACTTGACACTATCTCTGTACATGCTATACTGTGTGTCTAGAATGCTCTTCTTACCCTTCAATCAAGCTCACGTTACCTTTGGAGTAGATTCTCCCCATCCCCAGTCACTGACTTACCTCTTAGAAGCTCCCACAGTGATGTAATGATGAGTATCTTGATAACTGTAAGTGCCTTGAAACCGTAGCTAAGTCTTACTAATCGGAGTACATAATGCTCTCCTGTATCTCCTTGTGTTGGGCACATAGCAAAGATAATAGATAGGTGAATGGATGAATTTGGACATAAGGTCCCTGAATTACAATATATTGACTGTGAAGAAAAATAATTTAAAATTCCTAAAAGACATCTAGTGTCATCAGTATCCTTTGTATATTAAAAGCAGAATAGTAAAAAATTTTAGAGTAACTGGAACTGTTTTGTTAGCATTTGTTTGAATTGAGTACTATCATGGCAGACAGTCCTGCTGCAGGCGACAAAGGCTCTAGTTTGTGGTAGCTTGAACTTCAGTGTTGTCTAGGCCAAGGACAGAGAGCAGCTGTTTTAGAAAAAAACATAAAATTTTTATTTCATAAATACAGAATTTATTGTCTTTGAATAGCAATGTTCCTGCTCGTTTTAATTTCTAAATTTAAATAGCTTTTTTTCTTGTTGAAGATATTTTAATTATTGACAGAAATGTCTCATAAGATTGTCAGGGGAAAAAAAGTAAGCAACTAAAGACAGTTTGGAAAACATGTCTGGGGGTGGGTGAATGTTCTTCAGTCAGCTTAAGATACAGGAATTCTGGCCCTCCCTGGTGGCACAAGGGGTTAAGTCTCAGCACTATGAAGCTATTGGCAGCTACTGCAGCACGCGTTCGATCCCCAGCCAGAGAGCTAACCCATAAGGCACAGCAGACTTCTCCTGTCTTGCCCGCTGCTCCCCTCAGCAGTGTATTTCAGTAGATCACCTGTTCTGCTCCCTACTCTTTTTCTGGTGAATCCTCTCACCCCACCCCCACACCTCTGACCTACACCCCAGCCCTGTATAAAAAATAAAATAAATCTTTAAAAATATATATAAAAAATTTTTTAAAAGGTTCAGCAATTCTTTATCCTTCAGCAAGAAACTAAAAATTGAGAGGAAGAAGAAACAACTTAAAAATTATAACAAATGTTTAAATTTGAAGATTTATTATTTCAGTAAAATGTATCTTGTTTAGAAAGTAACCTATTATACTTGAAAGATATTGTTGAGAAAAATAATAGAGGCAATGAAATAAATTATATTTTTGACAGAAATTATGTCTTGAGATTTTACTGATGTCATAAAGTATATATTCTCAAGTGTACCTGTGTAAAATAAGTGCTTCAATTTTATAAGACAATTTTGTAAATCTTTAAAACATTTAAAGAATATATGCTGTATTTTTTTTTTAAGATTTATTTATTTATACAAGCACTGGGTACAGTCAGAAGCACGAGAAGGTGAGAGGATTCACCAGAGACAGAGCGGGGAACAGAACAGGCAGACTGACGAAATACATTGCTGAGGGGAGCACTGAGCACAGCAGGAGAGGTCTGCGCCCCATGTAGGACCCTCGCTGGGGGCCGGGGATCGAATTGGCGCTGCAGAGGCTGTGGGCAGCTTCGCAGCCCAGAGCTCAACCACTGCTCCACCAAGGGAGGCCCTATATGATTAGCCTTTACTTGCCTTTCTTCAAGTAGCTATTCAGGATGAGCAGTTATTTTTCCTCACTACACAAGGGAAAAATCACTGCCCTGTTCCCATTACAGAATTTATTTATTTTGATTCAGAAAAGAGTATCATGGCTTGAAATTATAACAAATTAACTGGAGCAGTGAAAATTCAAGAAAAAATGTGTAACTTTCATACACATGAGCAATTTCAAAATGTCAACTAGCATATTCTTTTCTGCCAAACTGAAAGGCCATTTATGCTGCTGATACGAGGACAGGGTAGAACTAACTTGTAGTGTAGGCTTCCAAAATGAGCAGAAATCTGGATGGCTGAGGTGGAGATGAGTTGCAGTTGAACCCAGTAAAAGGTGAGATTTGAATGATTCTAGAAGGCTGGTGATATTCTAAATGTAGAGACTTCACAAGTTATATTAAGGTCCTAACACGTAGAAAAATATTATGTGTTTACTCAAATACACTGACACCTAAAGGTGGGAACAAACTTAAAATACTGTTTGCTTGAAATTAATTTTAAGCTAATGGCTTCAAAACATTTTCTCAACCTTCCATATGCTAGGTTTTATTAGCAATTAATGGAACTCTCCTTTAAACTGTTTTGAATTGGGATTAAAACATGGAGCAATGTAGACAAATGCCGTTATAATTAGGATGCTCTTGCTTTCTCAAAGATTCACTTCTTACCCAACTTTGTCATGTGAACCTACTGTGCCCGTAGGTGGTTTTACCTTGATGTCCTGATATTTTTCTGACTCACACTTGAGCTTTTATAAGGACGAGTGAGCATGTCATCTGACAGATAGGGTCAGATTTACATTCCTTTTACAAGTGGGTAAATGAGCATGTTTGGGAGGCAGGGTGAGTTGGCACATTAGAAGAGTGTGAGGTGGGGTGCCAGCTTGCTCTTTGATACAGAAGCACAGTCTGTCTTCACACAGCCCAGTATGGTTAGGTTGCTGTACCAATAACCTAGTTATGAGCAAGTAAAATGCACCTTTGGACTTGTTCAGCGCCTGCAAGAATTCTCAGTGCTGTCTACCATTTGCATGAATGCACATACCTTTTACCTTTTTAAAATCAGTGCTTCAATTTTTATAAGATATTTTTGTGAATCTTTAAAGCATTTAAAGAATATTTGTTGTATTTTAATGCCTTTTCAAGTGACTGTCCAGGATGAGCAATTATTTTTACTCACTAAAGAGGGAATAAATCACTATTTGTGTTAACATGAAGGATTCAGACTTCTCAGAATTGATGTTCCATGTTGCCGTCCTTGTCGCACTCTCTCTCTCTCTCTTTTTTTTTTTTTTTTTTTTTTGCTGCCCCTACCTCCTCTTCTTGAGAAACATTTTTATAAGTTGGAGTGTCCTGAGTCAAGAGTACCAAAATGATGAGGTCTGTTTAAGTGTTGTCTAGTGTACCAAAGTGTTTGAAAAACTGTCCATTACTCTTAATAATAAAGGCTAAATTTCAAAAAGAAAACATGAGGGTTTTGTTGATTGGTCCCTTTACATATCTCATCATACTTCTCTCCTTTCTCATTCTGTACCCTCTGCAGAATGTATGCCTCTAGTCATATTAAACTCCTTTAAAACTTCCATCTCATTAAGCAAAGAGTGCAGACGAGGGGGAGAGGGATGGAAAAAGGGAGAAAGCAACAGGAGAGGCGAGAGGGAGAGAGATAAACAAGCATCACACAGTCTCCTTTTAGGTCTTCTGAGGACACCTCCTCTAGGAAGCATCCCAGGTTACCTCCTCTGCTCTCACCAATGAATCTGGACTAGTGACTCCTGGTGTGGGTTCTGCCCAGTGCTGTACTTCTCCCTTACTGGCTTTAACTACATGGTTTTGTGCTGCCTGTGCTCTTGAGTAGATTGTGAACTGCCCAAGGGGACAGACTCATTCACCTTAACAGATGTTTCCCTGGCACCCCTACACACAGTGTCATGTAATAGGTTCTCAGTCTTTTTCAATAATGTTATTTTTTCAATAATGGTGCTTATTGTCCTCTATTTTGATTTCAAAGATTCCCCAAAGTGAAGACAGAAGAAACCATGCTGAGAAGCTAACCACTTCTCCAAAGCAGGAAGACCCCAAAAAGTCAAACGACCTTCCCAATTCCACCACTTCAGACATCAAGATAGGAGAAAGTGATCGCCAGCCAAAAGAGAGCTTTTTTCAGTTTCTTGGAAATTTATTCAATATCTCAGGAAAAACATCGCTTAGTGAAACTAAGCAGTCTTCTTCCAAAGATGATCAGGATAAAACTGAGAAAGATTTACAGAGTCCCAGTGACCATCATGGAGAAGACACCAAACAGGAGAGGGAGGTCTTGCGTGACTCCCTTGGAACCCAGGCACTTCCAGTGGAAGAACAAGAGTCCACTTCATCTGAATTCTCTGAAGCCTTTTCTTTGGATACAACACAAGACAGTGAACAAGAAATCAGTGATCTGCCAATGTAAGTTCAAAATTTACTTAACCAAAAATATTGAGCTATTGGATCTAACTTTTGAACTTTGAACTCTGTGGTTAATTGAGAGGGTTGGAAAAAAGTGTTCTGTAGTGTCTCTGCTACTGGGTAAAAAATTAGATGATTACGTATATCATGCCTGTCACCTAGGGCCTTTTAAGGTATTGTAGGGCTGGTACTGGTAGCTTTTAGGTGCTAACTTTGTCATAGTATAATATTTATTTCTAATTTGACTCCCTTAAAGATGTGAATTCTTCCTGTATTAAGGTAGTGTGTTTAGTGGCTACATTTTGGGAACAAAAATGGTCCTAAGGTTTGTATTAATACTTCTATTAATACTTTTAATAGTATTAAAATATTCTTTTAGTACTATTAATACTATTCTATTAATACATTTTTCTCTGTGAGATCCAATTAAAAAGGGTAACAAGAGTTACACTGATGATTTATAAAGCTTGCCTTATGAACGTTTTCACAGCTCTAAGAAACTGAAATGGTGCCCAAATTTAAGGAACATTTCATCACCTTTTTTTCTTCCTTTGATTAACAAATTAACTTATTTTTCTTTTATTCAGGTGAGCTAGAGGGAATATTTTCTACCCCAAAAATTTTTAGTAGTAGTTTTGAATCCACTAGATATCTTGCCTAGCAAAATGTATTCATTCATAACTAATAAGAATCAATTTTGTTGATTTTAACCTAACCTCTTCTTGAAAATTATTTTTAATTTAAGAGGTCATTAATATGATGTAGGTGATAACTTAGAACTCTGTCGTTCTTTGTCGTTTCAAAGTGTCTTCGTGTGTGGCTTTCAGTTAATTTCCTCATAGCAACCTTATGCTGTAGGCACAGACATCTCACATCTCACTGTTGTGAGAACTGAGGTCCGGGTGAGTTTTCCCATCAAGAGTTATGTGGTGAGGTTTTGCCCTACCAAATGTTAAATGTACTGCTAAATCTACAATAATTGAAACAGTGTCATGATCTAATATATCTGCTAGAAATTTAAATGTAATAAAATCGTCTAAAAATAGACTCATATGTTGGTGATTTGAACCACTGCTTACAGCATTATATATACTTGTGGAATGGAGGACTTGGGGTGTTGGTTAATAATTTGGGGAAAAAACCAAAAACTAGATACTTAGTCCATTTTTATATTAAAATTAATTGAAAGAATAACATGCTTCAAACACAAAAACTAAAAGTAGCTAAATGTGTATTATTTTAGTGATAAACTAAGTGTGATAATACTGGAGAGGCATCAGGAGAGAAGATCAGGAGGCTGGGTTACTGCCAATTTTCAAACTAACTTATTTTAACAAAATAAACAATGTTAAACAAATTGGTAAAGAGAAGACAGTATGAAAAAAAAGTCAGAAGATGCTTTTTGTTTGTTTATTTAGAGAAAAAGTTTATTGAGGAGAAAAAGAGCAGAAATAAAGTGGGACTCCCAGGCCATGAAACCATGCCAGGGAGGGCCAAGGAAGCCCAGAAGATGCTTTAACACATAAGCAGCTTAGACACTAACAATAGGAAAAATATGGACCATATAAATCATTCAAATAAAAGAAATATAAACTCGAGCAATGAAGAAAATGCAAACTAAGATAACTTTTAGGCTGTTGATATAGTAATAATAAATATTATACTCTGTGTCCCCCAGAGGTGATAGAACTGGTGTTTGTACACACTGCTGGGATTGAAGAGTATAAACTGGTGGGTCATTTCAGGGAAATACGGTATCCAGAAACTTAAAAAGTTTTATGGGGCTTCTGGTGGCCTAGGGGTTAAGTCTTAGCAATATCACCACTTTGGGCTGAGTTTACAAGGTCAGGGAGCTAACCCACATGGCACAGCAGACCTTTCCTGTCTCTCTTCCTGCTCCCCTCAGCAGTGTATTTCAGTAGATCCACTTGTTCAGCTCCTCACTCCGTCTCTGGTAAGGGTACCCCCTGCACCTCTGTCCTATACCGCAGTTTTAATTTTTTTCTATCTTTTAAATCTTTTAAAAGATAAATAAAGGTTCTATTAAACATTAATATAGGAACATATAACACAGAAAAGTGGTCTGAAGCAGTACTGTTTACAGTGTGCTCCTTGGATCAGCAGTATCTGTATCCCCAGGGTCTCATTAGAAATGCAAATGATTTGGTTCTTACCCACTGACTCAGACTCTCTGGGAATGGAGCCCAGCCAGCTTCCAACTATCATTCCTGGTGACTTTTTCTGTTCCAAAGTAATTTAAAATGGTGCAGATTTTGAGGCTGACATATGGGAGTTGGATGGAACTGAACGTTTGGACTTTTTATTCCTTGGCTTTGATTAGTAGCTCAGTTTTCTTTCTTTGTTACTGGACATGAGAAAAGTAGAAGAAGATTTTTATGCCTCTTATTAATAAAATCCTTGTTGTTAATAGAAAAATTGCTTTAAGGCAGTTGACTATAGCTGCCTCATTTCAAAATCATTTCAAAGATGATTTTGACCTACTAGGACCAGGGGACTAACTACCTCTTGGTAGAAATATAGGCTTCTCTTGCCTAGATCAGAAATCCTGTAGATTAGAATTACAGCTTTAGTAACTTGATTATTGTGCATTTGTTTAGTAATTATCATTTAAAAGTGAATACCAGTTCAATTCATAGTTTCCTTTGACGGTATGGTTAAGCGATGCTTATAATCAAGTCAACACTGTTTTTAAAATCTGGAGAAAATAATTTTAAAATCTATACTTTAAATATTAGAGTTTTAGTATTGGTTCTGTGACATGAATTTACTAAAAATGAGGGTATATTTAATTTTTTAAAAATTCAGATCTTGAGAATATTTCAAATATAAAATGTTATTTAAAACTAAGAGCCTCACAGCATGGCACTCAACCCGCTGCGCCACTAGGGAGGCCCTCTATGTTTAAGATTTCAGTCTCATACAATCATTTCCATCTTTTAAAATAAGGAAGTTAACTGAAGGCTTTAGATTATCTTATATAAAAATGCCTTTTTTTTAAAGATTTATTTATACATACAAGAACTGGGGTACAGGCCAGAATTGGGGGGTGGTGGTGAGAGGATTTACCAGAGACAGAGGGAACAGAACAGGCAGATTTGACTGAAATACACTGCTGAGGGAAGCAGTGGGTGAGTTAGGAGAGGTCTGCTGTGCCATGTGGGTATCTCCCTAGCCAGGGCTCAAACTTGTGCTGCAGTGGCTGCGGACAGCTTCATAGGTTGTGTCTTAACCCCTTGCGCCACCAGGGAGGCCCCCCCCTGGTGTTTTTCTTTATATCAGTAGGTCTTTGGTGACCAGGGTGCATTAAAAAGGGCCAGTAGCTTGATTTAAACAAGTTAATGAAATAACTTGTGCTGTTTAATGTTATCCATTAGTATAGTAACAAACATATTTACTGTGATGACTATTAATGTAGTTTTCAAAATTTGCACAAGTTACATTATTAATTATTTGGAGTGTGTTTTAAAAAGTCCATCAAAAGGCATTATAAATGATTTCATCTTCAGTTAAAAATAGCAAGCAATTTTATAATTGTTTTTATGTATAATTTACTATGCAGAGATCATTTTTAATATCCATAAAGCCTTTAAGAAAATCTTTTTGTTTGTTAGATGTTTTCTGTTGTCTCATAGGTCTAATATAATTTATATAGGAAGCTACTTTGTTGGGTAGAAATACTTTATTTTAACAGGTCATTACAAACTGTTCTGTGATTTTAAAAAAAAATGCACTTTATTTAAATAGAAAAGTTAAGTCTTCCCTATTATGAAAGCATTCTTAAACATGTAATTTGAAAGGAAATAAATGTAATGCTAAACAGGTAGCTTAATTAGTTTCCTAAACATGAATTCAATACTTTTGCTCTTAGGTTGTTACAATCATATGTTGTGCCTGTATGTTTCATAAACTCTCATATGATCAGTGTTTCTGTCTTGGGCTGAAATGCATAAAAACCTGTTTAGATTTTCAATAACACATGTGCATTTCCTTAAATATTTGAAATTTCTTTCTTACTATTGTTTGAATCATTTACTTTTAGTTATAGATAACCTGTAGATCCCATGCACAGCTACATTATATGTAAATTTATATTCCTTTTATCTGTTAAGCTTATGAAAAATGAAACTTTAAATTTTCTATCTTCAGTTTATTTTTAAAGGTATGTGTTTTGGCCTTTTTATTTACTGGGGAAAAACTTAAAATTTAAAGCACAGATTTATGTTCTTAGTAATTTTCAATTATGGTGACTCATCTGCAACCTCTGAAAGAATGATGAAGAAAATGGACTCTATTGGCATGACTAATCCTTTAAGAAGTGGGCGTGTAGTTCGTCAGTACCTGAAGGGACTAATTATAATACATGAAGCTAAGCTTGAAACTTTGATGTTCAGTGCTTTAAAGATGGTAATAGAATTGTTTAGGAGTTAAAATATGTATTTTAGTTACAAGCATATATAAAAATGCTATAGATTATCTAGAGAATTTTAAGCTACTTCATATAAATCAATATAATCATCTTTATTGAAAGTACTCAGAAAGCCCTAAAAATGTAAAACAAAGATTCCCCTCCCCAAGAGACAGACACACACACACACACACACACACACACACACGTGCTAAAACTACTGAAAGACGGTATTACAATGTGTTAATTTAATGGCTTTTTCTCTGTAGTCTATTTTAAATCAAAAGTTGTTGGACTGATGAGGGATAAAATGCATTAAGGTCTGTTTAGGAAAGGATTTCTAGTAAAATGATGTAAGTTTACTAGAAGAATGAAAATCTGATCCTTTTCTCTCATTTTCTATTTCTGTGGGTGTGATGTTTTTTGGTGTATGTATTTCATCAGAATTATTTTGGTCATCTTTGGGGGAGAAAACATTGCAGCCTGAAACTTTGAAAAAACATAAAAAACTTTGAAAGAAAAACCAAACATAGAGAAAAATTCAGACTTTCATTCTGAATTGTTCGTGTATTTTGATATGGGGACTCAGCAATTAATTTATCTTTTTCTCCTCTTGAATGTTTTCATAGAGACGTTACCTAATCTAACTTTTGTTTTATAACAGCCTTTGATCTAGCCTGAAACCCATGCAGCAGCTAAACCCATTTTTGCAGGACAAAGATTTTCTCTACATTTCTTTAGCTGCTTTATAATGGATAGTGAAACTAAATGATGTAACTTGGAATTTTTCACAATAGTGGTATGATAGGATTATAAATGTCAGCAATTATGGAGATTGAAATTAATTATTTCAGCTAAAATTCAAGAAATGTGTAAGGGGCACAGTTGATGGAGATTTTACATGTCAAAGGTGGTCTTAACTTTGGTTTATCCTTAGACAAATCTAGTATTAAAGTTAATTGCTTTAAAATTGGGGAGAAAATTGGGTCTCCCCTGGTGGCGCAGGTGGCTGAGCACCGCACTGTGAGACTGTCGCAGCCTCTGCAGCACCGGTTCGATCTGGTTCGATCCCTGCCTGCCTGTGAGGGTCCCACATGGTGCAGCAGACCTCTCCTGTCTCGCCCGCTGCTCCCCTCAGCAGTGTATTTCGTCAGTTTGCCTGTTCTGTTCCTCGCTCTGTCTCTGGTGAATATTCTCACCCTCCCGCACATCTGACCTGTACCCCGGTTCTTGTAAAAATAAATAAATCTTTAAAAAAAATTGGGGAGAAAATTCATTTTAGATAATGGATTTCTTAGTTATTCATATGGATCCTGGTGGTGATTTGTTAATTACATGTTTAATCTGAAAAAATTAAATAGAACATTTTTCTACCATACATGTTTATAGCCAGGACACTAAAATGTAACTGGACTTTAGAATTTAAGACCTTTTATAACAACCTACACTGTCTTAAATCTTAGCAAATCACTAATATTTAGAATCACTGCTTTACTTAATCATTTGTTTATTCATAAAAAGTTATTAAACATACACCATTTACCAAATCTTGTGTGGAGCACCTGAAAATACGAGATGACTAAGGCAACATTGCCTTCCCACCAGGTAGTGGGAAAATGCTTAAGTGCGTAAATCTTGATAGTGTAATGTGGCAAATGCTGTGTCTAGTATCCTTTTCACCCACAGATCAGAGGCTTAGCACCCAGTTCCAAAGTGGAAGTATCCTGAGTTAGGTTTGCATTAGAGAAAATTCGTAAACTGAGTCTTAAGGGATGTTAGTGTTTGTCTCTGGGGTTGCAGTTAAAGGGGAGAGAATGTTTGTAGAAAGAGCTTCAAGATAGCATGGCACGGTGTGAGAATTCCCAGAGGTAGATTCCTCAAGGGAAGTTGAATGCTGAGGGCATCAGGAACTTTATGCTGTGGATGCTCTATTTTTTCTAGAAATTCCTTTTGATTTCTTCATTTACCCAAGCCGTTTAATACTTGTTATACTAATCAATTTTTTTTTTTTTTTGTGGGACCCTTGCCGGTGGCCAGGGAGTAAACCAGTGCTGCAGAGGCTGCAGGCAGCCTCGCAGCCCAGCACTCAACTGCTGCACCACCAGGGAAAGCCCACTAATCAAATATTTTAACTGAATATTTTAAGAACTTAACCCAAGAGGGGATTTTTGAAGGCAACCGTGAGTTAATGCATATTTATCGAGTCAGGGCAAGACATTTTACCAGGTGTTTCTCTGTAAAACTCCATTTAGCGCCTCCCTGGTGGGCTAGGGATTAAATCACAGCACAGTCACTGCTGCAGCTGCATTCTAAGTTAAACCCAAACGGCACAGCAGACCTCTCCTGTCTCCCCCTCTGCTCCTGTGAGCAGTGTATTTCAGTAAATCTGCCTGTTCTGCTTCTCATTCTGTCTCTGGTGAATCCTCCCACAACCACCCCCTGCACCTCTGGCCTGCACCCCAGTTCTTCAGTGCATCCATAAATAAGTCTTTAAAAAAATAAATAATTAAACTCTCCATCTATGTGTTAAAATTCAAATTCACATCTATGGGAAGAAAGCTCGCCATATACTCTGATATGTTAGAGAAATCAATGTTATATCCATAAGCTTGTGTACCAGTATGAGGCACCAGTGCTGTGTGGTTTCTTCCACTTGGTCCTTTGAGAGTAGAACTAGAACTGAGCCTCTGAGTGGTCTGCCCACCTTATCTCCATGAATCTCGGTTAGAGAGATATTTATAAGCAGATTAGAGGCAACAGCTCAGAGGAGCTCAAACATTCTTGCTGTCTTGTTACCTCGCTACTTGTCACAACCTTATTGCTATTTTAGATAAATGATATTTAAAAGATTTAACTAAAGCTTTCTAGGACTTCCTTCCCAAATTAGCACATATTAAATAGTATTTGAAATACATACTTAATCAGTTTCTGGGAATACTGATGAGTGCTACTAATTATATTTTCTGATATTCTTCATGCTGTTTCTTTTGCAGACAAACAGATGATAAACTAGAGAGGCCTTCAGTAACATATGCAACCTATCGAGGCCCCAGACAAATTAAGAAATATTTGAAACAACAAACTTCATTAGAAATTGTGACTCCCTTGGATAGAGAAGATGAAAGTTCTGACTCTAGTACAAACACACATATTGGCCCCAGAAGTGAGAGAGAGACTGGGATAGTGCCAGTGTTGTCATCAGCTGGCACAGACACATCAGCGAAAGGACATCTGCTAGACCGCCCAGCGGAAGACTCTGATTGTTGCAGAATAAATCCCTATACAGAGGGCCATCAGACAAACAACCCAGAACTTCTGAATAATGCTGCTTCTAAAGAAATTTTAAATAAAAATGATTCTGAAGGACCTGAGAGAAATAGACTATCCCCTTCCTCTGTGATTCACTCCAGTTCTGCAGTTAGAGAATCTGACTCACAACATTTAAGTGGTGTACCAGTTTCTCAGACTGACAGAAATTTGAAATATTCAGCACTGTTTCCCGGAAGTAACAGCAGCATAGTTTCTTACAGTCCAGATTTTCAGAGAAAAGGAAAGGCTGACACTGCCCTGAAAGAAAAGAGCTTTGTGATGAGTGATGAGACATTGTTGCAAAGAGATGAGCATGTTGGACTTGAAAACCCTGATACTTCTGACTTCCCTTGTAGTAAATCTGATGAAAGTGACACTACCAAACAGGAAAGTACGGATTTGCCCAGTTCAAATAAATCAATTGGGCATGAAGGTCTGCACTTGTCAGAGAGTAAGTGTTCTGACAAGCAGACAGCAGATAACTCATCAACGCAGGCTGCCAATCACACCAGCACCACTGCCCCTCAGAGACATGCTGTGACAGACTCAGAACTTGTAAATGAAGGAAGTAGGTTGTCTGCCCAAGATTCAGAGAAAAATTTAGCTGTTACAGAAATCAGACAAGAAACAGAAACTGCCTCAATTTGTGAACCCACAGCTTCAAGTCAGGTAAAAGCAACAGGAGATAAACCTTTCTCTAAAGATATTGACCAGTTTGTAACAGAAGCCAAAAAGCTGGACTTTAGACCACATGGCAAAATGCCTCACAATATTAGACTAAATCAGAAGGACTTGGCCTCTGAAAAATGCATCAGTGAATCAGTTGTGACATGCTTAGAAAGTAAAAGAGCACCTGAACTGAATGTTCACCTTCATAGAAATCACATTTCAGAATCTCTTCCTGACTCTGAAAGTCATCAGCAAGCCAAAGTACTACCAGATGCCAGAACATCTGTTACCCATGACTGTAAAAAATCAAATCGCAATACTTCATCTCCTACCTTTTCTTCCGGCGCCGACATGCTGAGCAAGTTGGTTATTCCTGTTTTAAAGAATGAGGATTCCTCTGTGCTCATTAAAAGTGGAGATGTGGGCATTATTGGTATTGCCAAGCAGCCTAACAAATGTCAAGAAGAGAATGTGGGAAATCATGTTGAGGTTGCAAGCAGTCAGAGTCTTCCCACTTGCCTTCACCTTGAGCATGCATCTGCAATTCTTGAATCCAAAGAAGTTCTTCCTGATAGTGAAAACTGTCAGGTCCCACTAGATCTTGAAGCCATTAACACTCTCCTAACTGGAGTGGACTCAAGATTTGGGTCTGTAAGCCTCTCTAAAGATCACAGTGCCATCTCACCTCAAGATGCTAATAAAGCAGAGTCAGTGCTTTCAAAAACTGTATCAAGTAAGAGCACTGTAGAGAAGTCTGAGTCTCTTTCCTTAGGAACCCAAACTGGTAATGTTGCTACAATTTTATCAAAAGCTGAAATTGATGGTCAGAGCAGTATTCCTGTTGAGTCATGTTCTGAAAAGGAGAAAACAATAGCTCTCTCCAAGTTATCTGTTTCCCAAATAGAGCCCAGAGACATTTCTCAGGATAAAATTTCTTTTCCGTGCAGAATGACAGATGCGCCAGCCAAGTCAATTTTATCAGAATTAACTTCCCTAAAGGTTGAACAGGACAGAATTTTTCTGTTAATGGATCATAAGCAGATTCAAGAGAAATATTCAGATTCTGGCCTTATAGAGAATTGCCAAACTGAGGTTTCTCCTTCTGCTGCCAGCTATCAAGGTAAACATGAAACAGAAGTCATAGGTTATTCTCCTGATTTTCCTCAAAGTAATACATCTGAGATTTTACCTCCTGTTCATGATGAAAAAGTCACTAGTCAAATGGCCAAGAATTGTGAAGCCAGTGCTTGTCAATCTTCAGCTATTTGTGGGACTAAAGAAATTTCTGGTTTGTCAGAAATGACAGAACTCAGCTTATCTAATACTCCCCCCAAATTCCAAGAAACTGACAGCACAAAAGTAAATTCACCTTTTCTAGGTTCTGATATCAGTTTAGAAAGAAACACTTTTGCATCTGAAGAGTCAAGCTTTTTTAATATACCTTCTGTTCTGACATCAGAAAAGATAGCTTCATCTCACAGAGAGAAACAGCACACTCATTTAAGTTGTGGCTTTGATAGCCTGTCTTCCTGTAGGAACTCTGAAAAAGTTAGTTCACATACTCCCCCAAATAATTTTGGTCCTGTAAAAGTTACCAAAGCTGTCACACTTGAAGGTACCTCCTTAGCTAATCTGCTGAACACTAACAGCTCCTCTTTGGAATTTGAAATGTCTGTCCCAACAGGGGCAGAAGTGACCCTTTTGCAGGAACATTTTGGGAATCCTACTGAGAAGGTATCTCTTGATTTCCCAACTGCTGCCCAATTTGACAAGCCCAGTGCCGTGGAAGCAGTTGCTGGCGCTCCAGCGTCAGTTAACAGCTCAAGCCAGCAGTGTTCTGAAGCATCTGCTAAGTGTGTAGAAACAAGGACAACAGCACATGACCTCAGAAGTGGTTTACGTAAAAAGGCTGATACATTGACTGGTGAGATTTTTAATTCTGTCAGGAAAGAACTAAAATCCAAACTTACAGTTGGTACCTGCCAGGACCCTGTAGTCATAGACAGCATAATGAATCCAGGTACCCTGAAAGAAGACATCCTTGCGAAAAACCCATCAGAAATGACACTGACAGGGATCCAACTGACAGAGCATTTGGAAGAGCAGGACATGGACATACGCGAAGTCAAAGGGGAAGAAAAGACTAGTGTTTCACCTGCACTTGGTGAGAAGAGTCTCCGTTTTGATTCCGATAGAAAGAGTGTATCTTGTTTGTTAGAAGATCAAGCTAGGGAATTAGTCAATGAGATTATTTATTCAGTCCAAGAAAGTCTGACAAGTGATGCTTTTGAAGATACTAAGGCTACCTGGCATTCTGAACTTCAGGCTAAGACATCAAAAATTCTGAATAGTGATAGTGTTAAGCCATGTGATATGACAAGGAAATTCTTGGTCCCAGAACAGGCAGTAAATCAAAGCACATGTGAAATTAGTGAAAAACCATTGGGTAAATTCTTTTCTGTAAGTAACTTAGTTAGTGACACAGAGGCAATTAAAGGAAAAGAAGTTGTTCTCTATCAAAAATTCCCATTATCTGGAAATGGAGCTAGACAGTCTGATACTGTAAATTTGCAGGAAACACAGACTGTTTTACTAGCTGAAGATGAGTTAGATAATGAAATAAAAACACATTTATTTCTCAAAGAGGATAGTAGAGAGAAAATGGAAACAGAGTGTATGGATAATCACAGAACTGATACAGAGGATACGAGGACTCTTTTTTTCAATTTCAAATGGCCTCCATTTGCCAATGATGACCTCCATGTACCTGGGACATCCAAAAGCAGTTTGTCTGACAGCCATGTGTGTATATCTGATAAAAACTTGCCAGGTCACATCAATAAAGGCACACCCCTCGTAATGTCAGAAGTAGGGAAGGTGCACAAAAAGGATCCTGAAGTAAACATGGGGAAAATTGACCTTATACCTTCCATGTTAGAAATGGGAAAAGCAATCAGAAAGGATGCTGAACTGACTGTCGCAAAGACTGAGCCGACAACCGATGTTTTTAAAATGGGAGAAGCACACCAAAGGGATGTTGAGAGATATATTGAAAAAACTGAAGGGCTACCTGTTATTTTAGCAGTGGAGAAAGCTTGTAATATGAGGGATCATGAAGGAGATATTAGCAAAACTGATGTGATGCCTGTTATATCAGAGGCGAAAAATATCTATCAAAAAGACACGGAGGGACTTACTGGAAGGACTGAAGTACTATCTGTTACATTAGAAATGGACAGTATATACCAAAAGCATGCTGAAGGGGATGTTGGGAAGACCAGAGTAGCATCAGTTATGTCAGAAATGGAAAATATCCACCAAAAAGGTATTGAGGGAATTACTGAAAAGACTGTAATGACACCTATAACATTAGAAAGGGAAAATTTTTACCAAAAGGATGATGAAGAGGTTGTGGACAAGACGGAAAAGACTCCCATTATGTTGGAAGGGGCAAGTATCTGCCAAGAAGATTCTGAGGGAATCATGGGACAGAATGAAAGACCCATGTTAGAAATGGAAGACATTTGCCAAAAGTTCACTGAACAGGTTATTGGGAACACTGAAATGGTACCTGCTGTGTCAAAGTTGAAAGAAGCAAATACCAAGGTAGCACCTGCCTCCTTAGAAGTGGAAAAAGCCTTTGAGAGAGATGCTGGAGAGACAGTTGGAACAGTTGTGCCTATACCCTCTATGATAAAAATAGAAAGAACATCCCCCGAACATTCTGATGTGACTATTGGGAAACATGAGGCGGTAAACCTTGAGAAAACACATGAAACAGGCCTGGAATTGCCTGTTATACAAGCAGAGGGTATGTCTCCCATATTCCAAATGGAAAAAGCACCCCAAGTTTATGCTGACGAGAGTGTTGGAGAAATGGAAGAAGGGCCCATGGAAAAAAAGGAAGGCTTGATAGCTCACGACAGTAGACTTGCTTCCTATTTCAGGGGCTATGAATCACCTACATTAAGTAAGGATTATGAAGGTTATCCAGCCTTAACAATGCCAGATTGTCAACCTGAGGATACTAGAGAAAAGCCCCACAAAAACAAGTCTGTGGCTACAGTAGATAAGAGAGAGAAAGATCTAGACTTTGGTAGTGAAAAAGAATCCAACTTAGGGTTCACTTCTCAGGATGAACAAGAAAATTCTTCCTTTACTATATTATATGAAGAACCCCTTCAGGAGGAGGACAGGTGCACTTTCATGGAAGTAAGAAGAACCCACCCTCTCTCATTTCCCAATACAGCGCCTGAGGACATTCCGGTTTACACGTGTGAAAGATCTGAGAGTAGAACTGACCTCGTCCGTCATTTTGAAAAGGAAGGTAAATTAGGTGAAATGTTTGATAGTGATAATTCAGAAATGTTCTTGTCAGTAGAGGCCAAAAGATACAAAATTTATCCCTTAGCTCTGTCTCCCATTTATGAGGATGATAGCTCTCAGGAGGACGTCCTATCCAGTGAGGTCTCACCTGGTCATCACGGCTCCACGAAATCAAGAGAGAGTGCAAACCAGGCCTCTTCTGTTTTATCACTTCTGCAGTCAGTATCAGAGCGTTTAAAGATGAACTTTGATGATGACAGGCAGGAGGTAGGGGAGGAGGAGGAGGAAGAGGAGGAAGAAGCATTGCATGTAGGAAGTCTGAGAGAGAGACAGAGAGAAACTGTTACCTTCAAGCTGCCCGATCCCTCCATCCAACATAACCCTGATGATGATGAGGAAAGGACTGAAATTTCTAAAAATTCGTGTGTAATATCGAACGAACCTACTACCTCCAATCTACAAATTGGGCTGTGGTCAGAAAAGACCGCCTGTCTACAAAAATCTGACCTGACTTCGAAACTGCATTCTTCTTTAAAGAGTGCTTATCATCAGTATTTGCAGACTTCTAAAACCCATTCCTCTGAAAAAGGAGCTAGATTTGGTGGGGTTTTTCAGGAACCAGTGTCAAAATATTTCCGTGCTCAAGACAACTCAGGCAGATTAAACCTGTTCACAGAGGTAAGTGAACTGTTAACAAATGAAGTAGAGCTTTGGGTCATGAAGTGACCGGAAGTTTTATTAAGAAATCAATGTTTTGAAGTTGTGTAGTGACTTTTAAAAAATCATTATTTTTGGTTGAAGTGTATTATAGCTCATGTATTTTAGTTGGACCATTTGTTACTCTGAGCAAACAAAACTGCTTAAGAGTTTAAAAAGCATAGGGGAGCAGCAGAGTTCTTTATTAATACTTGTTTTTTGAACTAATTTAAGTGACAGTATTATGAAGGAAAATTCTGCTGAGCTTAGGTGTTGTGGAAATACTAATGTTTAAGAATATTTTAAATACTTAAGAAATTATGTATCTGCTTGACAACCTCTCACTATAGATGTTCAGGGTATTCATAAGAAGCAGGACAATGGAAAGCTTAATTCAAAGCATTAAAAACATACCTAGAAAATGTTTTGATACTGTTATATTTTTCTTTTTGACCTAGAAATATTTAAATATCTAATGTGTAATATTCATTGAATGTGGGACTTTGCTTTTTTGGTATTTCCGAGATCATGGAACTTTGTCTAGGATTTCCAAGGTGCAAGAATTAGTATTCTGAACAGCCTTAGTAGCAAATGGTAGTACTTGAATATCAACCAGTAGCCTTCAAGGCAAAGCTGTTCTGAAAGCAGTGATGGGATTTAAAGAAATGTTTCTTGAATGGTTTCCATTACCCACCAAATCACGTGAAACCTTTTTTTTTCCTGTATGAAGTTTACCAAGTTCTGTTTATCTAACCCTGTCTCCTGGTTACACACCCTGTGTTTCTACCATCATACTTTTTTCTCAAGGTGGTTCTTTTCCTGGAATTTTATTCTCCACCCCAACCTGCCACGCCTCACCTCCTTGTTGCTGCCATTCCCTTGACTTCTGTAACCTGGTATTTTCTTTGGATTTTACCTGTGGGTTTAACTTAGCCCCTCACTTAGAAGAATCATGCAAGTGTGATCCTCAGTTTCCCCTTTCTAAGCTATAAGCTCTCAGTGACAGAGACAACATAATGTTTTCCTTTATACATACCTTTAAATTCCTTGCACCTATGGTCCTTTAGTAAATACGAGATAAATAGATAAATTCGATTAGTGACTGCTAAGAAAGTGAACTGTTTATCTTTTTGTTAACCTTTCTGAAGGCTTAACTTGCTTCACTCTTGTTATTTCAGAATGTTGACAAGCAAACGCTGAGGTATAACCCAAGACCTGGAAAGGTAAACATAAGCTTCTTAGGTAGACTCAGATACAATGTGATAAGTAAGATTACTTTTAGGTTCTTTGGCGTTTAAATACTTTTAAGTGACTTCAAAAAAGGATTATTTAGCTCAAGGGTCTAGTTTACAAAGTAATGTTTGTTTTTATATATTAGAATATCGTGTTTTTTCTATTCTAGGACATTTTGGAATTTTAAATGCATTCTTAAAATTAGTTCTTGTGCCTTCTTACTGTATGTTGCAGATGGTTATCTATGATGTCGATGGAAGTAAATACAAACAAGAGATCTACTGTAATATTCCTGATGCTACATCATGGTCCTTTCCAAATGGGGTACTGATAAAAGTTGTAAGGGGCTGGTAAGAGCTCTCAAAATTTATAGCATTTTTTCCAAATTAAGTGTGTTTTTCTGCTGTTGATGCTTTTATATTTTCTATGGATTTTACGTTTCCTTTCCTTTGTTTTTTGATGGGATATTTTGAAACATTATTTGTGTTTTATAGCTTAATTGTTCTCTTTATTAACTGTGCCAAAGATACTGTTTTTAGTGCTAAAAGCCAGCAGTAGATAGCAAAACCTAATAAATACAATATAAACAATATCATTTTGTAACTGCATTACTAGCAGGACAGATTTGGCAAGTTGAATGGAAGGCTTCAGTTAAATGAAGCAAAGCTTTGAAAATGAGTTCAAAATTTGTGGGATGCTAAGGAATGTCAAGGCCACATACTTAAAGTCATTTGTATAACTGATATGTTCAAGAAGTGAAAGATTCTTTGTATAGTCTAAAAATGAGGGAAATCCACACTTATGAATTGCTGGACATGGTGGAGGCAGAATTTCTTTGTTGGTTTTCTGTAGTTACTCACTGATCAATTTTATGTTGTGACCATTGTGGTATAATGCCATCTTCAAGAAATGGAAATGTATCCAGTGACCAGAAAATTTGGGTGAAAGGGTAATTTGAAATTGTTATAAGATATGATAATTACATAAATATATAATTGTGTAGAAGGATCAATATAGTGCATTATACATGAAATAGGCATAGACTGGTAATATGTTCAGATAGTATTATACCCCCCAGTTGTACGCACTTTCATTCTTTCTTTTACTATACTTAAATTTGCATATGTCATTGTTTCAAATGTAGGATTGCAGGCTAGTAGTAGAAAATAACCCAGCTTAAAATTTTTAAGTAAATGGTCTGAGACAAAGTATCATTTGCTTATGCCTTATTTCTTAGAAAATTATTTACAACTCATCATTGCTTTTATATTTGTTCAGTTGGATTTTATATGAGAAACCACATTTCCAAGGTCAGAAATGTGTTTTAGAAGAAGGGGAAAAGGTGTTAACTCGTGATTGGATCCTTCAGAACAGAAAGCATCCACAAAGAAACTTTGTATTGGGCTCTGTCAAGCGTGTCTTAAAGGTGAAAGAACTATTGATTTTTTTGATTTTTTTTCTCTACATTTTGTTGTATTTGCCATATATACTAAAGCTGTACTATGGCCTAGTAATATTACTAAAAGATCACTAATATTTTTACTAATTTTATTGTCATTTTCACATTAATAATTTCTTACCTTTCAGATATAAAGTATTGGTATGAATGATAAAATATTACCTAAAATATAACATATAAAAAGCTAATAATATATACATATGTGTCTTTTTAATAATTGTGGGAGTACAAATATCCTTCAAAAAAGAGCCTGGATTTCCAAATATCTTTGTTTAATGTAGATTTCTACTCCTTAATGCAGTGCTCTGTGTGTGTGTTTGTGTGTGTGATGTCAGGTAAAATTAGAAAAGGAAGAATGAGAGGAAGGAAAGTTGCTGTGTTTTTATTTTCTGTTGAGAAAATATTATTTAATACTAAGATGAGGGCCTCTCCTGGTGGCGCAGCGGTTGAGCGCTGGGCTGTGAAGCTGCCCGCAGTCTCTGCAGCACCAGTTCGCTCCCTGGCTGCTCCCCGGCCACCTGATGAGGGTCCCGCATGGCGCGCAGACCTCTCCTGCCGCCCGCTGCTCCCCTCAGCAGTGTATTTCGTCCGCTGCCTGTTCTGCTCCCCGCTCTGGCTCTGGTGAATTCTCTCACCCTCCCGCGCTTCTGACTGTACCCAGTGCTTGTATAAATAAATAAATAAATCTTTAAAAAAAATAGTAAGATGAGGAAAAGTCTTCCTGTATATTTTGTGGGCAGTGCCGTGGTGGTTTACAGGAGAGGTGATAAGGACAGAGCTTAGATAAGGATAGAATTCTCCCATATTCTTGAGTTCTTTCAGAGGTAACATAAAATATGATTTAGTGCTGTTATTCCTGTGACTGTCGGTGGATATGTTTTTCAAGGTATGGGGATTTTGTGTATATGCTTAAAAATATAAATGGGGGTTTCATGATTTGGTGCACGATGTATAATTGTAGAGACATGTAAGTGAGACAAAATCACTCACTTCAGATTTCTTAAAGACTCAGAAGCAGCTGCGTCACATGACCATGGTCAACGTGCTCCGCTGGGCCCTGCAGGTGCATGGAAAAGAGCACCTTACCTGAAGAGGTGGAGGAGGCGGCACCTGATTAGAATCTTGAGAGAGTAAACAGGAGTTAGGCACGTGGGAGAGGTGAGGGCGTTCCTGGAAGTGCCATTTGTGTCAGACACAAGGTGAATGTCAGTGAGTTGCTGTAGTGCAAGATTGATGGCTCAGCATGGAGGGCAGGGTTTGTTTTCATTGAAAAATTTAACTTTGGGAAGTTCAACTCAGCAAGCAGCATTTTGAGCACTTGCTTTTTTAGCTAATTCACTAGAAATCCCTTGAAGTGAATAATTAGTTTGTGGGTGGAATGTTCAAAAGATCTAAATAACTTATGGTTCTGTCTTTCCTTGTGAATATCCGGCACCATGCCAGGCCTAGTGGGGAAAAAATGTAGAATTAGAGACTAGAGACAGCACCCTCCATGCCCCTTAAAAATCAAACAACAAAATCAAACAAAAAACTCAGTCTGTGGAGCATGGATATATGCACATTTGCTAACTGCTTAGACTAGATTATAAAAATGAATGTCATTCTTGCATTTTTTGCCTTTTTCTTATCGTTTGTTCTTGGAGTTTTTTAAATTGCAGTGTTTGTGCCCACATATCTTGAACAGCCTAACAGCTTAGTGTGAGGAAGGAAAATAGAACTATTGAGGATTGAATGGAAAAGGCATTAGCATTGTTATAAATATTTCACAAAGTAAGAACCAGGCTTCCTTTTTCCAACTTTGTCACAATTCTGCCTGTTGATAGCTTCGTTTTCATGGTGGTGGTTACCATTGCAAATTCATCTCTATTTATGTAAACTTTGTCTTGTTTCATCCTCTTAATTTTAGTTCCTCTGTGCTGCATAGTGCAAACTTTAAGTGTTCTTTAAAGATATGTTGCAGATGTCTTCACTGTTTTGTGAAAATACTTAGGTTAGGGTAGCAGTGTGGTTTATCTTAAGTCAAATGCTTTCCTTTTTTGATATAAAAGACATGAATAAAGCAAACATTAATATATCAAACTTACTGTGTTTACTATACATTTAACATCTTTTAAAGGAATGATATTTTTCATAAGATCAGAAGTGCCCTAACTAATGAGCTGAGAAGAGAGATTGTCAGAGGCTGATCTTACATAGTTGGAGACAAGTAGATTTTCTAAGTGGTTTTTTTAACTGCAATTCGTTCCTACCCTTTTTCTATCCCACTGCCTTGTCTCCATCCCTACTAATTGCTTTAATAGTCTATGCTTATAAATTTCACCAAGATGTATTTGTAAAGTATGTCATGGCTAGAAAAGCCTTGGGAGGAAGCCATATAAACTCTCCTTTACCAAGAATAAACTGTTTATTGTTGCTAGGTTACTATAAAGTGTCCTTCAGTTGCTAGTGTTTGACTGCTTTTGTCCACCAAGAATTATGCAAGTCTTGAAAAAGATGAAGAATAACCACCATCAAGAAAGTAGATCTTAATAAATGAAATCTTTCTCAATCAACTAGAGAAAAAATTGGGCCTCTAGTAAAGATAGTTGAGAACATAGGCATTCTTATTGATGTTTATTTTCCATTATTTAGCCATCATTATGTTTTTGCCATTATGCTATTTCCTTCTGTGTTATAGTAGACTTCAATGCTTCTTAGTTTTTCCCATCTAAAGTACGCCACCCAAACATTGTTTGTATAATACAATGCAGAGGAAGCTTGTTTGTGTGAGACACTCAGTTATGTATTCTGTTACTGTTCCTCAGATCCCTAGGGGAACATTAATATGGCAGTATTTTAAATAGTGTTACTAGAACTCTATTATTAATAGCAAACAAAAGAGACGAAGATGATTGACAGGTGGCTGTTCTGGATGGACATTTCTGGTTTTGAAATGAATCATTAGAATGAAATATATTTCTATACTCTGAAAGACGTGCTTTTTCACTGTATTACATTTTAAAATTTTCTGAAAATAAGATGTATCAATGTGCTTGCTTTTACTTTTAATAGACTGATTAGTAATGATTAATAAGAGAACTGGATTTGGGGAAAGGTTAAAAGTCAGAAATTTGGAGTTTTGAAAATGCAAGTTTTGATTATAATAATGGAAAGCATATTGTTCAGCCTAATGGATATCATCTTTGACTTTCACTGCATTCACCTATTTCATTAGAGTGTTAAATTTTTCAGTATGCTACATGAAACTTATGCTACTGAAACTTGACTTGTGTGATAAACACACTATTACTAGATAGGTTGTGTGTGCAGACAAGCATGTCTGTCATTTTTGGAGAAGGGAAAAATAATTTCTTTCTGTTGCATTGATTCTCTTAGCTATTTTTTTGAGTTAGAACTTAACTATTCAAGTATATTCATTAGAATACAGAGAATTACCTACCTTTAGTTGCAATGAGGGAATCATTTACAAAGTTTACAGAGCCCATAAGAGGACTTGGAGATAGTACAGAGCCCAGTATGAATAAAGAGATGTGGGGGAACTATAGCTGTGTCAATCAGTAGGTTGGTGCCAAATTATTGAAATGCAAACACGAGTATAAATTTGATGTACTTGGATCTTAAGCTAAGTTGCATCACAAAGAAAACTCTGTTGTAACAAGCCCAGTTGTGTAAAGAGCAGCTAGTACCTGACTGGTGATATCGACCCATAGTAAGTCTTAGCCTTGATAAAGGGCCTTGACAGTAGGGATCGGAGATATTCACAGGTGAGATTTTAAAGGAAGTGTGACTGGGCATGGTGACAATGGATGTGTGATTGAGTATGGAGTCAAATTCCATAATGACTTTGTTTAATATAATTTGTATTGAAGAAAAATAGAATTCTACAAGTAGGAAAACAGATTTCCTTTACCCTCACCTCTAATTCCTACTTCTTTTGTCAATGTGAACTATTTAACATAATGAGGGGTGGCTAGTGCCTCTGTTATTTATTTTTTATGTCCCCTGTGAGGTCAACTTTTGTTTAATTCCCTCCCTATGGCTTTGTTATACTTCTGAGAAGGAAGGCTTGCAGATTTTTGGCACTCGTAGTTGGTAACTTTGAACATTCCTTCATAGAACAAGACTTTAAATAGCAAGCACAAAGAATTGGGGTAGTCCTTTTTTAATTAATATTTTAATATTGATATTCAATATTTAATATTTCTAGAAGACAGAAAAATTTACTTTGTGCTAAGTTTGATTGTGATTAAATTTAATGTTTATTAACAAAAGATGTCAGTAATATTTGTCATCAGTGTAACTTTCAGAAAACTTTAAAGAGCTGGTAGAGAGGAACAGTATTCCATTTAAGTTGTTTCTGTGAAGAAATTTGACTAAACAAGGAGAATAATTGTAACTGCACATACTGGGTGCTGTGACTACTAGACCGTGTATGTCTGTAGATGATTTCAGGATCTTTTTTTTTTTTTTTCAGGATTGCAGCATTCCAGAGATAGTACTTTGTGCACAATCTGATTCAGCTTGTTGTCCTATCTACATCCAGCGAGCAGTTCCCAATGTGGAAGAGCTGAATATCCCCAAATCTGTGTCCTTCACTGTGAATTCTGGAGTGTATGTATCAGTTTCTCTTTACTATAAAGAGTTTACTAACTTGATGGCCACTAAGTTAATTTTTTGTCATATTTCAGTAGGTAACATGCATATTTCTGAAGTTTTATAAACTTCACTTACACTCTTGTATACCCGAGAGAAACTGTTAACAGGGATTAAAACAGATTTTTTCTTCGGTTCTAATTAAGGCTCCAGTTAAGGGGAAGATACAGAATTATCAGACATAGTTCTTGATAGATACATCCATCGTCTTTTCATCACCAAATTTAGGTACCGAGAAATAAAAACATGTCCATGGTCTAAAATTCTGAACTTGAAATGTTTGTAGATTGTTTCAATCTACTAGTTATTGAGTACCTCCACGGTGCCTGGAATATAGTGCCTTTTGTTTATTACTCCTCTATTCCTGCACAGCAGGTATAACTACTCTCATAAGTAAGGAAATTATGTGATTTGTCCCTGACTACCAGCTGCTAAGCATGGATTTGATACAAGGCCTTTCTGATTCCACAGACAGTTATCCTCTGGGACTGTGGGACTGAACTCAGTCTTGATTCAGTCTCAGATGGGCTCAAATCACACGTTCTTTACTGCCTGGTTCATCATGGATCCTTTCACTGCTTCATCTCTTCCACTGTTTTCATCTGCTCTGACGATGGCTGGTATAGAATTTTGGGGTCAATGTAGGACATCTTTCTTTATCACTCCAAGTCATGTACTAGAACTCCTGGGCAAACCTACCTAATTATTGATCCTATCAGTGAGAAATGTCTGTAATTATCAAGCTTGCCTGAAAACAAGGAGAATTTTTACAGAATCTTATTTTAAATACTGTTCCTGAGGTAGCTAATAGAATTGACATGGATTCTAAAAATGTGGGTTAAGATGCAAAATGTGGGCCTCCCCGGTGGCGCAGCGGTTGGGCGCTGGGTTGCGAAGCTGCCCGCAGCCTCTGCAGCGCCGGTTCAATCCCCGGCTGCTCCCCGGCCACCGGAGGAGGGTCCCACATGGCACGCAGATCTTTCCTGCCGCCCGCTGCTCCCCTCAGCAGTGTACTTCGGTCCTTCTGCCTGCTCTGCTCCCCGCTCTGGCTCTGGTGAATTCTCTCACCCTCCCGCGCTTCTGACTGTACCCAGTGCTTGTATAAATAAATAAAAATAAATCTTTAAAAAAAAAAAAAGATGCAAAATGCCTGGTGGAACCCCTATCTCTGATCATCTCAGTTTAAAAAAGGATGGAGTGATATGGGATGGCTTTGATTTTTCAGTCATACTATTTGAATTGAAGGTGTCGTACATCTTTTAAATACTGGCAAAGTCTAAGGAAAGTATTGCTTCATACTTGGAAAACCTAATGAATAGGATAGATAATGTTTGAATGTAAGTACTTCATTATTTATGAAGGATTTATAGGATTATAGGATAAACAGTGTTTAAACATGAGTACTTACTGACTTAACTCTTATTGATACTGTCTGACAAAGTCACTTTGAATGTGTTTTACTAATTTGGTAATGTAATTCTGTGAAGGATTTTTTTATGCAGTACATTTTACTTTTCTACAGAACCGGAGTGAAATATACTTATTCTTAACCCTCATTTCTTATCTAGTTGGCTTGCCTACCCAGATACTAATTTTAAGGGGCAAGCTACAATTTTGGAGGAAGACCATGGACTTTTTGAGATTTCTGCAGCAGAAATGAAATCATTGCATCCTCTTCAAATAGTAAGTAAATTTAAGAAGAAACATTTGCTAAGTACCCATGAATCCAAAATTAAATCACTGGTGACTGCTCATGGATCTCAGTCTTGCAAAGTGAAGATGTATGCTGTTAATCAGCACATTGTTGATACGTTATTTCTTTATGTTGCAGAGAATATCTGTGAAACCAGTTTAATGTTTTCTAAGAAGACAAATGTCTGAATTCACTTTGTGTAATACATGCAGTTTCCTTATAAGTGTTATCCTGATAAAAAATTTTGAATATATAATAAAGTTCTGAATTAGTTTTGATACTTGCTAGAAAATTACTTGTAGTATGCTATACTCTTCCATTGCAGTAATGAATGATAAATTACACATTAAATAATGAATGATAAATTACACATTAATAATAAATGGGTAGTTCTGTCAATGGATGCTTTCTTATACATAATAATTTTCTGTAATATTTTTTTTGCCAACAATTTAGGAATCAAACTATTCAACTAAATGTTAGGTATGTGAGAAATAATTTTTGGTTGTTCTGTGACTTTAAAAAATTTTAAAAACAAAGAAAACTAAGAAATTTTAAGAAATACACAATGTGGAATAATATTAGAAGGAAGGGAATTAAAGGATTAAGATTTTTGTGAAGAGGGGATTACTTTTATGCTTCACAAGTACCAACACAGTAATCAAAGTACCAAGAGAGTAATCAAAGTACCAGCACAGTAATCAAAGATGCAAACAGGCCTATGTTTAACTAGGTTATAGCACCTCCACAGACGCAAAAATGTATTGATATATAACAACTGCTGTCTCTAATTCAGAAAGCACATGCAAATATAGAGAATTGTATTAATAGTACTAAGTGGTTTAGAAATACACTCTGCCAAATGATATTTTTTTCAGTCGCTATAACATTGATTTACACTGTCTACCATTTAGAAGAATAGGCTCATTCCCTTCAGATGAATGTTACCGCCCCCACACCCACCACCAAGGTTCCCATACTCCTACCACAGTCCATAGAATCTGCTCGCAACCCCCCTCTTCCTTTTGGGACACTGTACAGAAGGATAACACGTGCTTAAGAACTAAAGCTCAGTTTCCTTTTTTAGAGTGGTTATAATCTGGAAGCAGTCTTCTTAACCTCTTTCCCAACTGCAGTGATGTAGGACATTTTGACTTGATTTTTGACTCCTATAAAATTCTGTACTTACACAGGTGAACTGGTGGTGGGAATTTCACGGGAACTATAACTGAGATGAGAAAGCATACACTGTACAAAAATGAAGAATGATGTAAAATAGTATATATAATAAAATAAATTTTTTTTTAAATTCAAATAATTTCTTCTTATTTACTGCAACTTAAAGTTGGCTGGTCTGTAAATCCTTACTAATAAGATTTTTATTGAACCTACATATGTCACTTAGTTACTTTCAAATGTTCACATGTCTAATGTTAAAATTTCTTATTTTAAGGGTGGATTGAAAGTGGAAATGCCTATGAACTTAAAGGTAAGTCATCAAACTGAATTTTGTGACAGTAGTGATTTGCGTATTAATGTTTAAGTACTTCTTTTAACTGGAAAAAATATGAATATGCTGGTAATTCCTTGCTAATGGATGTTAGGGTGCTAGAAATTGATTGTACGAAATAATTGCTGAGTGCCCAGGCTGTGAGTGGGGAGTGGGGTCAGTGTGCAAAGGTGACATTGGCAACCAGGCAAACTGAGTGAGCACCTACTAACAAGGGAGAAAGGTGGTAGGTTTGATTTTTGTTCATTCAGGAGTGATATTTTGGAAGAACATCCAGCATGACTGGAAAGGAGTATAAGTCGCTCCTGTCAGATGTTTGTTTGTTTGTAAATGGAAGTATCTGAAGGCAACAACAGAAGCAATGAAAACTCAGGGTGGGGAGGAGGAAGTGTTAGTGACAATATGATTAAGTATATTTTGGGAAAGAAACAGAAATGGAAATTTAAACTACACATATAAATAGGAAGAAAACCAACAAAGTAATCAAAGATGGAAATAGGCCTATGTTTAACTAGGTTGTAGCACCTCCAGGGACACAAGCAAGACAACTCTGCCAACCCTCCCATTTCTGTGCTTCCTAATTTATGGAATTTACTACCATTATCTCAGTCACATAGATGGAGCTTTGTTGTTGTTTTTAATTTACGGAGTGTATCCGTCTAATGTGTTAGCCTCCACCCTTCCCACTGCAGCTGCCTTTCCCTCTGCTCTCTTGAAAGGTGGTTAGCATTGGAGAGTTCTGGGAAGGGGAGGCTCAATTCTGGTTCACAAAGAAAAATCATTTTCTTGGAGAGTGCCAGATACAAATGAATTAGAGAACAGCTTAAGGCAAAAGAGCCCACTGTGTTGGATAGAATCAAGGGCCAAAGTGTTTGAATTAGACCTATCTGACTTTTTAACCTTGGTTGGAAAAAACAATTTGTATCTGAGTTTACTGGCAGAGATGCTATTTTGGTGTGGGATGTGACCAAACTTTTTTAAAGCTCCCAGGTGATTCTAGCATGCAGCCAAGCTTTTGAACCAGTGATCTAATAGATGCTGATTGAGCTGTGACACTCTCTAAGAGGCTCCTGTTTGCTGAATCAGAACCTAAGGTGCCACAGGCTAGGTCTTCTTGGACATTTGCAGTTGATGGGTTGGAATAGCTGTCATAGTCATAATGTTCAAGTTTTATGTGTTATCAAATAATTTCTTATTTAATCTCAGGGTGTTTGGCATGTATAGCATGTTTCAGACACAAATTAAACTCCATGACTTCAGCAGGGCACTCTGAAAATTTAATATGTAGCAAACATCAGGAAGTGATGGTTTTCACTCTGAACAATGTTACCACTTTCAGAAATAAGCAATCTCCAACTTGCTGGTTCAGTGTGTTTAAGTGCAAGGTCTTAATTTGCCAAGGTCAGAGATCTAGTTGTGCCAAGTTATGCTATTAACCATGAATAGAACCAGGTGATAGAGTATGGATAAATTAGCGCTGTTTTCACTGTTACAGCTTCCACTTAACAAAAGGCAGGGTGTACTTCAGAAGTAAAGAGATTCAAAATGGTAGAAAAATACCCAGTCCAAGTTTGAAGTAAATGAAATGCTAGAAATGTTTCCTGCTGCCCTTACGTAGCCACCCCCATCTGAATCAAATTTGAAATAAAAATGGCATCTTTTTCCAATAACTTTTTATTTTATGGAAGTTGTATATTTAAATTTAAGAATGTACTTACCCATTTTTTCCTCAATGAATAGTAACGATCATATATATATTTTCTCAAATCAACAGGTAATTTATCATTATGCCCTGGAGCCACAAAAAAGTCTTTTTGTCTCATAGGGGAAATTCAGTAATATGAGTTAGACCTCTGTTAAATTCTAAATAGAGTGATAAACTAAGACCGATTCAAGGACCACTTACAAAATAGCTTATCCTGTGAGATGCTGCTAGGGTTTGGGTAACCAGAACAATTTAATCTTGAGTATATTAACATGAAACATATAAGATATTTTACATTTATCATGATAGCTCACATAGTCCTTGTGAATGAGTAAATGTGTTACATTATAAATATATATTTATGAAAAATGTGGACAGTGTTCCTTATTCATGCCTACTTAGTGTCATTTAAGTAAGTCCATATGTATCTATTCTAAAATAAAGTTTAAGTGATTTTCTTTCATTTTTTTAGGTTATTATTTATGAAAAACCTCACTTCCATGGACAGGCAAGAGAGTTTAGTGAACATATAGATTCTGTCCCTAATTTTCTAAAAAATGAATTGGACTTTCGTGGAATTGGATCAATTCGTGTCATCGGTGGAGTGTGAGTGTTATATTTTCAGTATTTGACTTAGAAATCTGTTTCTGAAGATCAGCACAAAAAAAATGTGCTAAGCAGAGCAAAAACAACATGCCTTAATCTGAAAATATGCATCCCTCTGTAATATAGGCAACAAAAAATAGTAGATGCCAGTGGCTTTCTGGGAACTCTTGTTATTAGAGACTTTGAGGTAGATCAAATGTAAAGAACTTTAAAACTTCACTCTTCTAAACAATTGCAAGATGAGAATTGCAAGATAAAATTATTTTTCTTCACAGATTATGAATATGAATGAGAACCCCAGTTTATCCTCTGAGCCTCAGTTGAGCTTAGTTGACATTCTGTGCTGAGCACACTGTCAGTGAACCCTCACTCATTGAAGTAGCTGATGGATGTTTCCAAAGACAAGTTTGGGGAGGAGAATAGGCAGATCTACCAAAATACACTGTTAAGGGGAGCAGCAGGCGAGACAGGTGAGGTCTGCTGCGCCATATGTGGGTTAGCTCCCTGGCTGGGGCTAGAACTCAGGCAATGCCAGTGATAGCACTGAGACTTAACCCACAGGGCACTGGGGAGGCCCCACCGAAGACAAGATTTTTGCCAGTGGTTACTCTCTGGCCTGAACTGCTTTTGAGGAAGCCCCCTAATAGTTCCTGAATAGAAACCTAAGTATAACCATAATTGCTACTATTTCAGTTTGAATCAGCAGTTATTGGGGCAGGAACCCCAGAAAATCTGTGACCAGACTAGGGTGCACCTCTCTTTGTATTTGTGGCAGGTAAAGTCATGAAGAAGATTCCTTGTAAATCACTTGCCTTCATCAACATGGTGCCGAAATCCCTCCAGAAACATTGATAGTTTCTCTGTTTTGTTGGTTTATTTGGAATATTCATTTTCATTTAAGCATTCGCATCTCTTGATATTTGCAACAGTACCACATAACCTGTTTGTGCTAGCCAGCAACTAAAATATTTCATTAATGACAGTTAAATGACCTGTCGAAGATCACTTAAGAGTCGATCTACATTTAGAGACATGGACTTCACAGTTCTGGCAATAAATCAAGTGATGGCCATACCAGCCAAAATGGAAATATAAGTGATGTAGTGTGCTAGGTAGTATGGGTATCACTGGCATATCCATGCTTCATCTGACATGTTGATAATATTTAATTCCTTATCCTTAATTTAAAAATGTATTGAAGGTTTGAAGTACAAGTATGTTTTGGATAAGCACATCTATTTTCCTTTATATTTAGTTGCATTCTTCTTTGATCTATGAACACACCTGCTTTTTGCTAATCCTGCTAAAAATATTTTTGTTTTTTCTTCCGTCTGGGATGTGAATTTTTTTTCCATTAAGAAGATTGTGATTTGCATTATTATTTTCTAATTTCCTTTGCAATTATTTTATAAAATTCTCAAGCAAATGTCTTATAATACAACATAACAAACTTCAATTTTTTTATATGACAACTGCAAGAGAAAAATGTGCTGTTCCCATTTAAGATGAACAGCTAACTTCATTTTCACTATTTCTACCATTTTCCAGTTCTGCTTTATCAATAGGTAATTCCCTAATTGAGGAATCTGAGGAAAGGAATTTTTCTCAGATAACATGTATTTAAAAAAAAAAAAAAATGGGCCTCCCCAGTGGCGCAGCGGTTGAGTGCTGGGTTGCGAAGCTGCCCGCAGCCTCAGCAGCACCGGTTCAATCCCTGGCTGCTCCCCGGCCACCGGAGGAGGGTCCCACATGGTGCGTAGACCTCTCCTGCCATGCCCGCTGCTCCCCTCAGCAGTGTACTTCGGTCCTTCTGCCTGATCTGTTCCCCGCTCTGGCTCTGGTGAATTCTCTCACCCTCCCGCGCTTCTGACTGTACCAGTGCATGTATAAACAAAACAAACAAACAAACAAATAAATAAAAACATGCCTCAATAAATAAATAAATAAATAAATAAATAAATAAATGAAAAAAAATCCCAAATGTGTATATAAGTTGAATTTCAATCAAAATTTAATCTGACAGAAAAACTGGGCAGAACATTTTTGAACTGACAGGTCGTAATTTGCTAATATTTCCTTTAGTATTAGGATCTTCCGTACCTTTTTTTCCTTTTTCCCCATTGAGGTATATGTTTTGAGTAGCCACATTGACATTAGAGAAAACTTAAATTTTGTGACAAAGCTTTTAAGTTCTATCTTTATATACTAGTTAAAGAATGAAAGGTTTCTTTTCCTATTACATATGTACTAAGATGTATAAAATATATATATCTCAATCACATAGGTCCTCCTCCCCTTGCAATATGCTTACCTACACAGAAAACGAGAAGGAATTTCATGATTACTGAGCAACAGTTGTTACTTTGTACCCTATCAAAACAATTCTTTGGAATATTTTTTCTTTCCTCACAACTATAGTAAGGAGGGGGAATGGGGAAATAGTAGTCAGTGCTCCCAGGCTAGTTTTTGTCAAGCTTCCCAATTCAGAAGTCCCCACTTCTGGAGCTTGAAATGGTCACCTTCGAAATGGTCCCTTGAGCTCAGCCCGGAAGGAGAGAGCCATGTCCAACCATGCACTGATGCGGACCAGAGTAGGTCGGCACGAACTTGGAGCCATCTTCACCCACCCATACTGCATCAGAAACTGTGAATTGCTTTATAAAGTTAGGTTTCATGGAGGAAATTCCTAACTAATGATGTTTTATCTATGTCTTGTGCTGACAGTTTTAGATTAGAAGTGAAGAGACCTGTGTCCCTGGAAAGTGCTCCACCCCAGAGCTTCTCGTTTCCATTATCATCACTGATGCAGTGGTGGGAGCTACATCTCCCATCCATCTCCCATGAGACTCTGTTACATGTAGGTCACCCGGTCTAATAGCAGCTCAGTCAGATTTCCCAGTTGCTCTTTGCTAAAACCCACCTGTATCGTGGTTTATATCTGAAGCCCGATGAGAGATTCCTTTGGTCTAAACCCTGAACCAATGTTTACTATAGTAATCATTGTGTGCTTCCCCAGGATTTAGTAAAGTAAGAATAATCTGTGGGATTCATTGTAGATTTGCAACTTTTTTTATTGACTACTTGTGAATTCCACTGTTTTTTACTTGGCAAGCTGTTCTCAGACCATATTGAGATGTGGTATCAGGTCATAGCACAAACATTTAACAAGTGTTGCTCTGTTGCAATTCTACAACAGTTAACCTTTTGTTGGAAAAAGCCACCACACTATAAAAGTGATTGATCTGTGAAGCATACACCATTTGTCTGTCTTTGGAAATGGTAGCAAAACAAATGTGTTGCTTTTTAAAACGTTGTAATGTGCAACTAGGTGCTTTATTATGACTTTCTTTCTTGACTGAAGTTTTATTGATGGCTCAATTGATGTCCTCTATATTTCTAGGTGGGTTGCCTATGAGAAAGAACATTTTAAAGGCCAGCAGTTCTTGCTTGAAGAAGGAGATTTTGAAGACAGTAGTGCCTGCGGGGCATTAAGTGGTCCCATCTTGTCTTTCCGGTACTTACAAGCTGTGAGTTAGCTTCCTTTTTAATTTTCTATCTGTATTATCTTTCCATGAAAACGGAATATGTCCTCTGATACAACATAAAATGTTATAAAAATGTCTCTTAATACCTCAGAGCACTAAACTGAACTGCTTATGTGACTACCTGTTTTTCTTAAACTGCTGTGATTGCTATGGAATAGTGACATATACTTTTAATCGATTGATTTCATGATCATATATCATTCCAGGTACCAGAGATACCATACCAAGGGCCCATCTTTGCGTTAGTGGGGAAGGTAGTACTTAGGTTATTGTTTGATTTGGTTAGGATTCTATTAAGCAGAAAGTACTTAGGGTACCCAGAAAAAAGGTTAGTTATTTGCACTTGGAGCTAAAATGTAAAGATGAGGGCCTCCCCTGGTGGCTCAGCGGTTGAGCGCTGGGCTGCGAAGCTGCCCGCAGCCTCTGCAATGCCGGTTCAGTCCCCCACCGGAGAGGGTCCCACATGGTGCGCAGACCTCTCCTGCCATGCCCGCTGCTCCCCTCAGCAGTGTATCATCAGTCTGCCTATGCTGTTTTCCGCTCTGGCTCTGGTGAATTTTCTCACCCTCCCGCGCTTCTGACTGTACCCAGTGCTTGTATAAATAAATCAATATTAACAAAAAAAAAAGTAAAGATGACACCTATGCTGAAATTTCATGTTCAAAAGTTGGCCAAAGGGAAAAATTCCAGGATAAGGTGAAGGAAAGAGATTGGTGTTATTTTAGAAAGAGATTAACATATATAAAGGCAAGGATAAAAGCCAGCAATTCTCAGCTGATGGTGACTTCATCCCTTCAGATACATTCCAAAGTGTCTGGAACCTTTGATTTGTCATAAATTGGGGGCTTGGGGTGCTACTGAGATACAGTGCAGAGAGTGATACTGCTAACACCTACAATGCACAGGAGAACCCCCACTATGCCCCTATCAACAAATCGTGAGGCCCAAATAGTGCTCAGGTTGAGAAACTCGTGTAAGTGAAAATGGTCTGTTTGGGAAATGCAGGTAAGTTAGCATATTGGGAGAAATTTGGAAAGATGAGTCGAAAACCAGATAATGAAGGGCCTTATTTGCCATATTGAGCAGTTCTGAATTTTTTTTTTTTCTTGACCTTAAGCCATTGATGGATTTTTAGAGATGTACCTGATTAGATCAGAAGTTCAGAAAGCTCTTTTTTGGTGACTGGTATCAAGAAATTTGGCATGGGATAAAGGAAGTAAGTCTGGAGTCAAGAGGCCCAGAATGTTGGAGGACTTCAGGTAGATGCTGAGGAAGGCACAGAGGGGAGCACATAGATTGAACAAGTTCTGTAGGAGATCAAGGTTTATCAAATGTTGCTTGTTTTTCTAACAAGCTCTGAAGACTTTTGAATATGTTTAGAGAGCCAAGTTTTCACATGATTCAGCAGTACATTGGCAATCTCTTTACAAGGTAGTTTTTACCCTTATAAACTCTAAAACTATCTGGCATGGCCTCTAAAGCCCTTCTTTGAGGGATTGATAATGAAATACGGCTGTTTTTGGGTCATGTAGACCTTGGATGATCCAGGGGTGTGTGCTCTGTCTGACCCTTTAGGTTTCTGTTTGTTGGGGCCAGCAGTGGCATGTTGCAACCTCCTCACCTATCAGGTAGGAGGATCTGGAAAGGGAGAAGCAGCTCAGAGAACAAGGGAGCGTTTTTTTTTTTTCCATGAATAAGCCTCATCAATAAGAAAGTGAGTGGGAAATCAATTCTATGTGAAAGAAATACAGGACAGTCCACTGAAGATTGAGCACTGACTTTGCTCACACAGTAGATAGCTTTTGAAGTATTTTAGTGCATGATTCTAATATAGCAGGGCCAAGGTCCCGTCTCCCTGGCCGCTCCTGACTTGACCACTAAAAGGCAAGCATGACAAAACGAGATCATCTTCATATTTTTTTCCATTGTGGCTGAATGCAGTGAGAAAATTAAGGTCACAATTCACAACATCTCCACCTAATATTAAATATTTTCCCTCCTTATTTAAAGAAGCTGAATTGAGCAGAAGCATTGTTTATCATAGACATGTTTAACAATGTATGTGGCAGTATCTTCCAAAGAAGACTGTGTGACTAAAATAAACCAAAACCCAAGTTATACGTTGAAATCTCTCAATGGTAGGAAATATGAAAAGGTATAAATACTGTAATGATACAGCTAAATGATTAGGAGTTATTTGATACAGACTGTACACCATAATATATGCTGGCAAAATTGGTGTATTTTGGCATGTCAATTATAGCTGTGTGTAGGTTTCATGCATTTGCAAAAATAACAGTTTTTACTTAAGTAAAAATGCTTTTCGAGAAAATTTTCTGTTGTCTTTAAGTTAGGTTTATTGAAAAGTAAAAGGATTAGTTGTTAACAAAGTTGTGATCTTTATTATATAATCCTAACATTTGTCAAGGATTTACTAATGATTTTACAAATATGCTTGTTCCTAATATTCATAAAAAGGAAGTAGAACTCGTTTCCAACTTCTTACTGACAAGGGTCTCAGGTACAGAGGCTGAAAATCTAAGTTTCGGAGTGTAGATCTGTGCTTTGAGGAGCAAGGCAGTTTAAGTCTAGAACCCTTGTCATATTGTCCATTTTTCCATTGTTCCAGAATGTTAGACTATAAGAGAACTGTCACAGTGGAAAACAGGATCTCATTCAACCAAAAGCTTATTTAGCATTTCATTTGTAATCATAAATATGTAGTTACATTACAGACCAGCACACATATACAATAGATATTTCCATCTTTTCAGACTAGTTATAAGTTCATGTTCCCCAAAATATTTTCAGGTAAAATATATTTTAAAAATATGCACATATTTAGATATCTCAGAATTTGAGAAATTTGTATATTATGAGAAGACTTTAAAAACTTGGTTATCGGGGGCCTCCCCGGTGGCACAGTGGCTGACTACTGGGCTGTGAAGCTGCCCGCAGCCTCTGCAGCACAGGTTCGATCCCCGGCCACCGGGTGAGGGTCCCACATGGAGTGCAGACCTCTCCTCCCGCCTGCTGCTCCCCTCAGCAATGTATATCATCAGTCTGCCTGCTCTGCTCTCCCCTCTGGCTCTAGTGAATTCTCTCACCCTCCCGTGCTTCTGACTGTAGCCAGTGCTTGTATAAATAAATTAAAAAAAAAAAAAAAACAAAAAACTTGGTTATCATGTTATACTAGAAATATTTTCTGTTCTTTAGACATAGCATATAGTTGGGAAGGAGTTCTTTAAAAAAAAAAAAAACACCACTTTGTGAGGCATGATTGATGTGTAAAAGCAGTACATATTTAATGTCTAAGCTCAATGAGTTTGGGATAGTTATACAGCCCCAAAACCAATACCTCCATCAAGGCCGCAGACACCTCCATCACCTCCCAATGTTTCCTAACTTTCTCCCTTTATTGCTGTTGTTACTGCTACTTTTATTTTGTGATAAGAAACAATAGCAAAGTCATCCCTCTGTAGAAATCTTAAACATATAATAGAGTATTGCTACGTATGGAATTTAAAGCTCTGTCACAAGCTACATGAGTTAACAAGCAGACAGGATGTGAGAAATCTCTTCCCCATATAGACTCTCAGATCTCTCTAACCTGGAAAGAGTGAAATTTAAAATCTAAGTTAAAGAAATATAAAATAAACAAGAGGACAGAGAGAAAAATTGCCTAATGCAATTTTGTAATGCCCAGGCTCCAGTACACAGAACGTTCTGGAACTACTAAGAACAAATCCTAAGTATGTTCCTTCAGGATCCTGTGATATGTGTTATGGAGGACTTCGGAAAGAACAACCAGAAATGTGCTCTTAAATCCAAATGATTCAGACAGACATACTGATTTGGAGTTGATTATTTTTTACAAAGTAGACTACAAGGGCTGTTTAGACTCCAGGGATTAAAGAAGGAATTTTTATCCCTTCACTAAAATTTCCTTGGTATGCTAGCTAGCTTTTCTCAGTTTTATGCTAACTTAACTTTTAGATTTGCTTTTGCTAGACCTCTGAAACCAGATGGCATACCTACGAGGCCAGAATTGATGAATACACCAGGTCTCCATTGAGGCCTCATATTAACGTTGCTCACTGACCGTTGTAGAACAAAAACTCCAGAATCTGATCAGCTAAGGGGTTGAATGGAATTTTAAAATAATGTAATTACTGAGACTTGTCTTTCATCCCGAAGTGACTGCCCATAGATTTTGCTCTAACAATGGAGAGTCCTGTATCTGAGGCTATATTAAGCTATCTGGAATTTTCAATGGATTGAGGTATTTTTAAAATACAATACTGACAACCTATTAACTTCATGGAGCTTACCCTAGACATGATACTTAATCCCTGTTGTGATCACCTCCTGAAAAGGCAGTTAAAAGGTTTTGAGGTACCCACCCCCCACTTTTTCATATTTTATACTATGCTTTGTAGTCTCTGGAGATTTTTTCCAGGTGGTTGGAATTGGCTCAGAGATAGCACTCTGCCCAGCACGGACAACATAGCAATAGATGGCAGCCTGTCAACTGGATCAAATATTGTATATTTGGTAGGTTTGCATAAATATTGCAGAGAAGGTCAAAACCAGGAGAGTGACTCAAAAGGGTACTTAGAAAATGACGGAAGGCAAAAGCAGCTATAAAGCAGAAAAACATGAATAAACAAAAGAAGATGGGAAGAAGAGAGCAGTGCTACTTGGGAGACTCCCATGGCCCTTGGCCAAGTCTCTGGAATAGTAGACAGAGAAGGAAAGACATAAACTCAAGCCATGTGAGTAAATTTATTTGTGAATGGTATGTTGCCAGCACTTGTACTTGGCAGTGGGCCCTGTGACAAAGGATCCCTCCTCTCCTCAGCTCCAGGCTGCATTGTTGCCAGGTGGCCTGTGCCTCTAGCCTGCATCCCAGCTCACCCTCGTTGCTGCTACCACTCCCCCACAGCCCACACACTGGGATTTGTATAAATCATTGCTCAAACAAAACACAACACATCATAACACAAGTGACTTCTTAACGAGAGGGTGCAAACACAGCACACATGCACATATCTGTATTTGTCTTTCCGTCTTTGTCCAATCTTAAAATAACATTGTGCTCCATGGTGTATTTCAGCTTGTCCCTGCTCCCCCAATTCTACAACCCGAAGAAAAGTAGAGAACAGGTAGTTGTGGGGCCAGAAGAAATAAAGTAGCCAGATTGGGAGGGTGAGGTCTGTGTAAGGAAAGCTGCTGAGGCCCTTCCTGCCATGCTGAGTTCTGCCTTAGTTGGGGCTTTACACGCCAGTTTCTGACCAGGCCCCCTGCAGCCCTCACCATAACATCATATGTCCTCACAGCTGCCTTGAGCTGGTTACACACTTAGATGTCGAAAGAAACAGAGGTGTGCCCAGGTTCGTGGGTGTTGGGAGTTGATATTGTCAACATAACCAGGTTTGTTGATGTGTCATCCAGCCTGTAAACATCATTTTTCAGTCAGGTGGCTCATCCTGAGGACGTTAAGGCAAATCATTTATGGTTATTAGAGCTCAGCTGAAAAAAGGGCAGGTATATATTTATGTCTCTATAGCTCTATAGCTAACTAGCTGCATGTGGGTGTGCACATGCATGTTTGTATATACATATGCACGTCTGTATACATAAACACATCTATACGATAGGTCCTCAAATAGAAGTGATCTCATCCAGTATTGTTTTTTGATGTTGATGAGAAGAATCTTTGCCAATGTTGAATGATGAAGGTCATTATTTGAGGACCTGCTTTTGTTGTTATACCTCATTTCTCTTCAAGTCCTCGTCTCCAAGAACCTTTTAGCAATGTTAACTGAGGACTTCTGTGTGTGCATATATACATCTATTATGCATGCACCTATACACATGTATGTATGTAAAATTAGAGTTAAAAAGGGAGCTCAAAAGATAATAAGTGTATGTTTTTTTTAAAACAGTGTTATGTTAAGGGATCAGTATGGTGAGAATGATGAAGAATCAATCTACCCAGCCCCCATATTTTAAGAACTGTGTGTAAGTGATGAAAGTGGTTGTATTCTCAGGTTCCAAAGGAGTAATTGAAACAAAATTCAGATTATTTCATAATAAAATTTTAGGTGAAAAATCTTTACCTTTTATCCTGAAGTTCAAATAAAATTTGATATCGTGTCAATAATGTAAAATTCCTTAAAAGTTGTAAGTAGTAAGTGCAAGAGAATGTTTTAAAAATCTATTTTCTTTCTATCCTTTGTTTCTTTTGGACAGTTTTGCTTGTTTATGAGATGAATGTTTGCCCTAGAGGTCTTCAATTCTTAGATTATAATCATAATATATTTAAAAGTGAAGAAAATTAATGTGGAGACTTACAGAAGTTGATAGTATTTTCCATAGTCTAAGAATTGTTTTAAAAACAATGTAGTGTAGAAAGGAAAGAAGAGTTGTTTTTTTTTTTTTTCATTTTTAATGTGTTCTTTATCTTCCAATTAAAATCCACATTATGAAAATTTGGAAAATATGTAGGGCAAAATTGCTCAACGTCCCTCGACCCAAGGATTATTCTTTTTTTTTCTTTCATGAAAAATTACAAATCAGTTGTCCTTCTTTCATCCTTACATTTATATCTGAGTGATTAAAGAGCTTAGGGTAAATAAATGTGAACTCATAGTCATTCTCTGCCTTCAGTGGTTGTGTTACCACTGGCAAAGTACTCTATTTCCTTAGATGTAAAATGGGAATGATTATTAATGTAGTCTCATCCAGTGGCTCTTTGGAAGTAAAGTGTGTAAAGCTCTTGGCCAGTAGTAAGAATAGAATTAATTCTCAACGGTTAGTCATTAAAAATTCTTAATTATGTTTATTCCTTCACATGGTAGGTGCATAAAGGTTTATCTTAAACATCTTTTGAATAATTACATTAGTTAAAGCTTTCCATTGTTATAAATAATGCATCTTTGAATATAAATTCATCATTATCTAGTTTTAGAAAACTTTTTAACTTAAAGGATTTTTTTCCTAAAGGTTTATTTATGCATACAAGAAATGGGGTACAGGCCAGAGGTGCAGGAGGGTGAGAGGATTCACCAGAGACAGTGGGGAGCAGAGCAGGTGGATTTACTGAAATATACTGTCGAGGGGAGCAGCAGGCGAGACAGGAGAGGTCTGCTGCACCACATGGGCCACCTCCCTGGCTGGGGATTGATTCATAGTCCTGAGACTTAACCCCTTGCACCACCAGGGAAGCCCCCTTAAAGGGAATTTCAAGACTGTAAATAATGTTAGTCTTGTAAATGTATTTGTTAATTATTTTCTAAAATAGCTGCCCAATTTATATTTCCATCAGCAGTGTTCCTTGACAAAATTGGATATTAATATTCTTATTAATCTAAAACGTGAAAACCATAGTTATTAAGTTTAAATTTTAATGTCTTTTTACTAATGAAATTAGACGTTTGCTTATTTGTTGTTAATGTTGTTGTTTGTGAATTGTCTCTGCCTTGCTGATTTATCAAGTTGGGTCTTAAAGAGTTTTTAAAATATTGTCTAACTATAAATTTTAAAAATTTCCTCTTACTTTGATTTTTTTTAATAAGTGATTTTTTGTCAAACAAATTTTATCTGTTACGTTACAATTACCCTCATAAATTCCTTTCCCACCCTACCTATAGTGCATTGTCTACATTTTTTCTCATGTAGCTTGCTTTCTTTTGCACAAATGAGACTTTTTACTTTCCTTTACAATTAGTGTTATAAATGATAGCATATAAGTCCCCACAATATACTAACTGCTGAATAGTTTCCATATGTATGAGTTAAAGTAAAATTCAGGCTTATTTTTTTTATTTAATTAGGAGTGCTGACAATTAAAATTGTTTTCTGTGTCACGTAAAATTCATCCTGTAGTTATTTGTGTGAAAATTATCCCACAAGTATGTGAAAATTGTGCTTAGATGTAATAGCAATCTATAAAGCAAAATGCATATATTTTTCCTAAGCTTTCCTCTTCCTCTTTTTAGAATTTTATAGAATCTTCTGTCACGCTGTTTGAATCTGACCTAGAAAGTGGGAAGTTTATTGATGTTACAAATCAGGAAATTTCTGACTTAGAAGAAATTGGTTTTGGCAGTGAAACAGGATCCATTCACGTTAAAAGTGGAGTGTAAGTTGTTTCCCACTCTGACAACCTTGAGAGATTCTTTGGAGTAAAAGCTTTGATTGCTCTGGTCTGTATCACTGCAGTTCTTTTTTTGTTTTTCTCTCTTATAGATGGGTTGCCTACCAGCAGAAGTTCTTCTGTGGAGAACAGTACATTTTAGAGAAAGGGAAATACAAGTGCTTTTTTGATTGGGGAGGTTCAAACAATATAATCATGTCAATACGACCTATCCAGCTGGTGAGTGAAGTATGAACATAACCAGTACCTGCAGGATATAATGACATACGATTGAGTATGTGGAGGAAAGCAGGCTCTCTTAAAAGTGGAGTTTTTGGGTTAGGTATGTGTGTATATGTAGAAAATGTAGTCACATATGAATTTCTATAGACTCCATAGAGAGCTAGCCTGTGAGATGAGATGGCCTGTGATTTCACTGATTTATTCATCCAGCAGCATCTATTTAGTGCCTCTGATATGTCAGACACTGCACGGATCACTGATGAGTAAAGCTACCCTGATGGGCCTCAGTCTCTTAGAGGAGATAAGACTTAGGAGCAATTAACAGTAGTATGATTCGTGAGAAAATGAAACATGTAGGAGTTGCAGGGGTGGGAGGTAGGGGAGGGAGCACTCTGGCCTGGGGGTAGGCACCATGCCACAGAAGAGGCCCATTGAGTGATAACCTAAGGAAGGTATAAGGGCAACTTTGCCAGGACATCCCACAATGAGGAAATAATCTTTTGTGCGAAGTCACAAAGATGTGAAAGTGCAGCTAGAGTGGGTAACGACAGTCACTGCAGAACTCAGGAAGGATACCCAGGAGGTGGCAGTGGGCGAGGGAGTGGCAAGTGCAGACTCTAGCATTCTAGTGAGCAAGCATTGGGCACATTTTTCTTTCAAAATAAATGGATAACAAATAGTAAAAGTATTGTAAGAAAATTCAGGAGGTTAGCTGAAAATCATAAGCCACTTCAAGAAATCTAGTCAGTTGGTCAGATATTTTTTTTCTATCTTCAAAACTTATTAAAAGACAGCTTAGATGTGTGATCACAATTTTTAATACGTTTTAATTTTTTTCAGGAACCACTTGGGATAAATGAGCCCCCACATTTGGTATGTTTAAAAAGTAACCTTGCAATTATTTGTTTATTTTGTAGTTTGCAATTTACTTCTTAGTACCTTGAGAGCACTTTGTAGCCATTTTCTCAGATTTTTCTCTTTCCCTCAGATAACCCTGCTGTGTCTGTGTTTGGTAGTTTATATTACACTTGGTACCCAGGAGCAGAAATTACCTATCTCAGTTATTGGTTGTACTTGCCTGAGTTTGTCACATGCTAGACCTCTCAGCTCTCACTTTGGGGTCATTTTGCGTCTCTGCCAGGCTTTTTTCCTACTGCCTATCTGTTCGTCAGTGCTATGTTCTTGCTCGGCACAGTGCCTTAGCTGTCTTTGGAGGAGCAAACTTAACCATGAAAAATGATGGCCTTAGCAAGCTCATTATGTAAATGTATTTCTAATACTGAAATCAAATATTTTGTGAAAGCACTAGTAAATTGCAGCCCAGTTTCCTTTTTTTTTTTTTTTTTTTGTGTTTTTTTGTTGTTTAGTTTTAGTAATTTATTTCTAGCTTGTTAATGAGTTGAAGTATGAACAATACTCGGGAGCCTAATGTTTGTTACCCATTAAGGACTAGGAATTGTGCTTATTTATTTGGTGCTTCTAGTGATTCTGAAGGTCAGCATTAATCCCATTTACAGATGAGAACACAGAGACTTTGAACTTCTGTTTCACAAACCTAGAAGTAACAAAACAGGCATTTTGAATCTGATTTGACTTAACTAGCCCACAAAACAAAGATGAGAGGAGCAGCACAACCGTAGAAGGGATGAGAGCCATTGCTGCTTCTGTCTCATTTAAAATAACAGATTTGGAATATGTTCTGTCAAAGAGCCAAATATAGAGATAATTTTAAATATTTGACATTTGCTACCTTTACAGAATGCTAAAACTTCTGAGTGATTGTTTTTCATGTTTGTGTCAGTGAATATGCATTACAATTCAGCTTACTCTTAACCATATTTCTGTTCACAAATCTTTCAGTTTTTATTATTTTCTGATTAGCTCAGGCCTGTTGGGAACAATTCCTGTCTGAATATAATTGAGTTGCATTTAGAAACACTTCCTGCCAGATTTTTATTTTGAATCTTTGAAAACTCCCAAAAGTGTGGACCTTTAAAATACTTTTTCATAGAATCAGTATAACATGAGGAAAGAGTCAAACACAGGGATACAAACCAGGCACTTTCTGGGTTTTAAAAATGCAGCTAAAAAGTCACATTATTTAAAGCTCTGCTTCCTTCCCTCCTAAGTCCTTGGTGGTGGTGGTTTTTGTTTTGTTTGTTTTGTTTTTTTTAATGGACTTCCTTATTTGGAGCAGATTACTTGGGGGATTTCTTTTTAGTATTTCCAGTCCAACTTGAAGAAAAAGGAAGCAGCAGCAGAACACGCCCAGTGAAATTGGCCCCACTTCATTTTTCTGGATATGCTCCAGCCTTGTGAAATAAGCTTTTCTGACAGGTATATGATAGCTGGATATTTGGTAACAGGCAGACAAAGCCTCCTTGATTTACCCAGTATCAACACTCTTCTTATTTCCTTTGGGCCAAATTTTCAGAACGTTTAGCTTGTTTTTACTTACCCAAATAAAAACAGAGGGATCTTGGCTGACACTCTACTTCCATTCAGTAACTAGAAAGTGTTTTTTTCCTTCACAAGTAGCTGTGATAGTAAGATTAACAATTCAGATGCTGTATTCAGATGTGGGGTGTGGTAGTTATTCTCTTTTGCCTGAGGATGAAGAAGGGGAAGTTATATCTCAGAGTTCAAGTCAGAGAGGGAATATTTTTATGTTGGTGATTTTGAAGGCACCTTAACCTGAGAAAATCCAGATAGTGTATGGGTGTAGAGACTCATATCCATCATCAGATGTAGGCTAATAAAAATACTGTTGTTATGAAGCATGTTGTGATGCGATATGTCATATTTGAGCACAGAACACCTCATTTCTCTAAGATTGTTTTTATTACTATGACTGAAGATTAATCACCAAGTCTAATTGCAAACTCAACATATACTGGATCCATTATAGAAATTTTTCATAATTAGCAGATGACTTTTTTGTTTTCCCAGACCAAAAAAAAGATTGTGGATTCTATTCATGTTATCATTATCTTTCCTCTTATCAAGTCCTGAATTTCAGAAATCTCACTAGATTAAATCTGATCAAGTAAAATCTTATAAAATTTCACTTAAAGTGAGTTTAGTTTCCAGGCGGGGGTGGGGGGGGTGGGGGGGAGCTATCATGGAGCCCCATTGTCTAGAGAGTCTCACCACTTTCCCCCTTTGACCCTACCATGATCATTTGTTTCCTTGCATCTTTTCTAAGCCTATTTGCATATGTAACTAGAAGTGTGGGTTTCTTTCAGTAATGATCCCCTGTTTTAGTTTATAAATTATTCTAGTTGAGAAAAGCAACTGGATATGTCCTTGGATTAGATAATTTGGCTACAGTGAATGTTAAAGTGATTACAACTGTGGTTGCTGTTAATCATGCCTGGGGAATAGAAAAGCAAATTTTAGTCAAATACTAGTACAACTAAAGAACAGTAGAGAAAAATACTTCTTTGTGGTACTATAACCAGAACATCTTTATAAAATCCAAAGGCTAGAAATACTCAGGAGGTACTTACTCATGTGAGTCATGAAATTCTTCTGTGAGTGATCAGGGAAGTAAAATTACTGTAAAAAATGCATTCAACAGGAGAAGTAAATGCTGCTACAAGATGAGACTGCGTGATGCAGAGAACAGACACTGTTGTCTATCTGTCAGCGCTGTGTGAGGGAGGCGGAGGGCTGCAGAAAGCCTTTTTAATACTGGATGGAAAGTTTCTCATTGAAATTACTCTGCATTGAAGAAAATAAAATTACACTAAAAATTCTGTTATTGTGGAATAAATTGAGCTCTGCTTCTCAGTAAGACCTCAATAACTAAGCACTTGAATTTTTAGTTTGTCTTATAATATTTTTAGTTTGACCTATTATATTTACTTAGGCCTATCATAAATGAAAAGTACAGAGTAAAAAATCATTTCTGAAAAATCTTATAAAATGGTTATAATTTCTCTGTCAAAGGAAAAGAAGATAATGTATGTGAATCGACATCTTGCAAACCATTGGTACACTGTTTCTTTTGCTTCCATACAGCTCCGGCTGGGGAGCAAGTAGAGATTGAGGCATATTTAGATGTTGTAGAGGGATGGGATAAACTCTTCCCTTGTTTATCTGACTGAGTTGTTTTTATGTATTTATTCTCCATACATCTGGACAGGAAACAAGTTCTGAGGAAGACTCAGGTCTTAATTTCATCAAGGTATTCTCAATTTCTCCAGAGTAGGAACACAATTTAATTATTAGAATTAGTAAACGCAGTGTTGGATTCTGTATGCACCCTCATCAGAACATTATTTTGAGAATTGTGCAAAGCATTTGTAAGGTAGTCAAAGTGAGGTGTTACTTTCCTAAGGTTGATCAGATTTGAGGTGAACCATGTACCATATCTTATTTTGGTAGTGAAAACAAATCTGTAGTATCATCATGCCTGATTTTTCAGTTTGGATAAAGAATATTTCAGCCCTCAGCCCTTTGAATCAAAAAGATACTTTATGTGTGTCTATGAATTTAAAATAATGTTTTTTGGTATGAAAACTGAGATTACAAGTGAGTGGTAGATACTACACATACATCATCTGAAATATGCCTAACTTGTCAGTTGTTTAAGATTTGACAATTCATTGCTTTATGGTGAGATCTTGAAGTATATCTTAAGTTCAACAATATAAAAATAATACAGCAAACTGGGAACACAAGTAGTGAACAAGACAGCTGGGAATCTCTGTTCTCGTATGGCTTTTCTGATTCATACTGTGAATTAAGATAATATTGGCACATAGGAGAAAGTACTTTTTTTTTTTTTGCAAGTTAAATGTTGTTTGCTTTTTAGCATCATTTTTATAAACCTTTAAGTTAAAAGTTAAGTGAAAAATGGCTAACCAGAATATGGGCTCTTATCAAGGAATTCAGTGGCAGTTTGCCTGGATATGGAGAATTATTCTTACTCAGGGAATTGTTCCAGTGGTCTCTCTGGCTTTGGACTTCCTTTCCCTAATTGTCCTCTGTTTCCACCAAAGTGCTGTCATAGAAACTTGTGAGATGATTACTCCTCAAGGCAAGGAGTCCCTTGGTGTTTTAATGCTCCAAATTCAGCCTGGTTTCACTCTAAGGAGTCATGTCATGCAAGCCAGTGTCGGGCGGGGGGGCTCTCTCACCTCTCTGGTTTTGGCTAATCTTTGATATCAAACCAGCGAGGTGAGAACAGAATGAGATAGCCAAGAAACAATTCCTCAGAACTCAGAGACTGTCAAGCCTCTCAAAGGACCCTTGGGAAGATGAAGAAGGTGAACATCAGCTGCTTGAAGAGGCTTTGTTCTCTGTGACCAGCATGAACAGGAGACAGGGTGATGCTGTGGATGGTTCATTATGATGCATCCTTAGTGCCAACGCAGGCCTATCAGTACTGGGTGGACTTAGGGGCCATGTTATTTCAAGGCTCCAGTGTATTATGAAATATTTATAGGGCTCATTAATTTTTCCCTATGTACTGTAGATCCAAAGCCACTAACATTGCAGATTTTTATATCTCTGGCCTAAAGGGAATTATTGAGATTGCATGGATTTTTCTTGACAAAAAGGATTAAAATAGAAATACAATTGTATGTAAATGTAAGCTGTGCATTTAAGGTATTTTTATCAGTCAAAAAACTGAAGCCTATAAGCTGAAATACATGAGAGACCTCTTCCTTTTCACCATAAATCTTGCACTAATCCCATCATCATTATCTCCACCACCTGCTCCTGTGCTCTCACAGGCGTGCTCTGCTCACCGACAGGAATGCTCTTACGTGCTCGCCGCCTCCTTTTCATTAGCTGTGGGGCAGGAAGAATTGGGGAGAGCAAAGCCTCACCAACCACACCTCAAACTAATCCAAACTGCCTTCCTGTTCAGAGCTAAATTGCCTTTTTTTTTTTTTCCTACCCATCTCAGCACTGGAGACAATAATTGTTTGATACAGTGGACATGGCCACATTTTAGTGATTTAGAGAATTGTTTTCTGGGTCTCTGTGCCCAGAATATTATGCAAGAAATAGATGAAAATGGTAAATAAATGGTGATATTCCTGGAAACAAGTAAATAATGTGAGTTTAAGGAGACTGTCATCCTTAGTGTAGATTCATTTGTTTTAGGAAAAAACAGTAATATTTTGCTTAACTTTTTGTAAGGACATGAAGCTTAAAGCTTTTATTTCCTTTGGGGGATGATGTGAAACAATTTTCTGTTTTCTGTTTAATTGTTGTGTTGTTCTTGTAGCTCAAAGCATTCAATAAGCCAGGCTTCCAAGGTGAATGTGTAGATTTTACAAAAGAAGTTTCTGATTTGACTTCATTCACACCATCTTCTTTTAAAGTTCTTCGGGGTTGGTAAGTACTTATTGAGTATTTTTTACTGTTTGTAATAACTGCTTTTTAATTTACTGAAATTTGTCTCACATTATTTTTAATTATACAGTAAAGTTTTAATTTTAAATTATTGGTCAATGGCTAAAGCCCAATTTATATTAAGAGCCACTGGTACGATGCAGTGAGACAGAATGTAGATTAACCAACTTTAGGAGCATTTTGGTGATACTCTGTCTTGCTGTTTATCTTAGATGATTTCCTAAGTATTTTTATTTGTAATGTATGTTTTTTGTAAAACATAATAGAATGCTATTTTAAAAAGTAGCATTTTGTACAGATAATACATAGTATTCCTAAGTTTAAAAAAATATTTAGAAAGTATTTTGTACTCCTATTCCACAGATGAGGATCGCTGATTCAGAGTTAGGGTTTCCCAAGATGATACATTAAATATCAGACTCAGGACTCTTTTGGTTGGTGTTTAAATCCTACATTCTTGCAACTACAGCAACATACTAGATCTTTCTCATATGTGTATGAAACTTTATGAGATTTTCAAGACTAATACGCATTTCTGTGTTTTTTTAAATTATGCTAAAATATACATAAATAAAATTGCCATCTTAACCATTTTCATATGTATCATTCAGTGGCATCTCTAAGTATCAAATATCTACCTAAAATCACTTCCTTTTTCAAGATTTCTTGGATGTCATTCTCCTTTCTCTCTGGAACCAGTACAAACTAGGATTCCTGTTTAACACTTTAAGGATTCCATTCCCCTAGTTACATCCATTGTCTACCACAAACCAGTCACAGCTCAATTATTTGTCTCAAAATCCAGTTCAATATTTTGAATTATTTGTCTCAAAATCCAGTTCAATAGCCTACTTTAAGTCCCGTGGTCAGGCATTCTCTAATACCAGTTGGATCACGTTCAAACTTCTCCTTTCCCAGGATTTCCCATCAACTGGTCTCATTTGCCATAATGCATTCTCCATTGCGTTCTTACTCTTTCCCGTCCTCCCCTCTTCTAGCATTGATGCTACTATAAATTTTATGCTCTACCCTGTAGTCCAGAGGTCAGCAGACATTTTCTATAAAGGCCAAGTAATGACTATTTTGGCAGTGAGAAAGAAATATATATACCAAGGACCTAAAATAATTTTATTACTAGTATTTGGCTGTGGGTTTCTTCCCCACTATGGTAAATTATTTTGCAAGGTATATTTTCATTTTCTTATAAAGTATTGAGATTTTTCTAGAGGAAAATGTTTTTTTTCCGAACACTGATGTTTAAGACATATTAGTCACATATGTATCACTTTATGTAAGAAATAATGCCTTTTACTTATACATAGATTATATATCTAATAAATGTTTATTCATATATAAGTATGTGTATTTATGTCTAAGTAATTTAAATATTTAAAATATATATTTTATTTATATATAGTTTTTTATTAGAATATTTAATGAAAGAATACCAAAAGTACCATGATGATTGCTTAAGAAAACTGAAATACTTGAGAGATTTAGATTTGAGTCTAGTTCCACCACTTCCTAGCTCTGTATCCTTGAACAAATTGGATCATCTCTCTAAACCTGTTACCTCATCTATAAAGGAGTATCCAGATAGTAATATTTCTCAAAGGCTTCTAATAAGGACTAAATAAATAATTCACATGAAGGGTTTAATTCCATGCCAGAAGTATTTGATAAATGTTGGCTTTAAAATGCTTATTACCTAGAAATCATGACAGTAAGTTATAATGTCACAAAGCATTTCTGTGATCATTCAGAGTTAATTTGGTCTAGCTACAGTACAGCTTCGGTGATCTTAAAGTAATGGAACTGGAACTTAAACACACCAAAATTGAAATGGTAACAGCAAATTCATTTGTCCTCTGGACTCCTCCTTTTTAATTGGCATGTCTTAACTAAATTTTTGGTGAATGCTGTATAGAAGAAAATTCACTGTCAGATTCTAGACAGTTCATTTCTTTTCTAGAATCTCCATTTAGGGCCTCCCTGGTGGCGCAAGGGGTTGAGCACCGCACTATAAAGCAATCCACAGCCTCTGCAGTGCAAGTTCCATCCCCAGCCGGCCAGGGAGGAACCCACATGGTGCAGCAGACCTCTCCTGTCTCGCCTGCTGCTCCCCTCAGCAGTGTGTTTCAGTCAGTCTGCCTGTTTTCTTACCCACTCTGTCTCTGGTGATGGATCCTCTCACACACACCTCCAATCTCTGGCCTGTACCCCAGTTCTTGTATGCATAAATAATCTTTTTTAAAAAATTTAAAAAAAATAAAATCTCCATTAACTGTCAGGTGTGCAGGTAACAGATTGTATATACCATTGTGTCACTTTAGTCTTCACTTCTGTGTTCGCCTTGACTGAATGCAAGCTTGTCAATCCTTAGTTTTGTTGCCTATAAAAATAAGACCATGCTTCTACCTCATAAAATTACTGAGATCACAGTAAAATAACATGTGAAGTACCGAGCCTGTGTTTGGCTTGTGGGGAGAGCAGTCAGTAAATTAGAGGGGTAGCTATTTCTTTTTAAAGTGATGCTGGGCGTTTCCTGCTACCCTAGATCCCACAGCATGTTGGGGAGCCTACATGGACAGTGATGCAGTTTTAACTGAGTAGCTCACTGCTTGTTTTTCTAGCTGGCTTCTGTATTATCAAGAGGGCATTTCTGATAATCAGTGTGTATTAGAAGAAGGCCTCTATGCTGATCTTACTTCCTGTGGCTGCCCAACATCTAGAGTCACATCCCTCAAGCCCATTGACTACGTAAGTACTTTGCTGAATGCACAGCTGTAAGATTTTTCTTGTCCAGTTTAATTACCATGAGTGATTATTGTGAAGTTGGGGGAAATAATACAAAGGAAAATGGAAAAATTTGAATGATTTACTTGTGTGTTGTAAAACAAATTCATTCTTGAAATCCAAGCAAAATGTAAGATTGAATTTTTTTTTTTTCTTTGAGCAGGAATGGTGAAACTCAGGAACCAGAGTAGCACAGGCCTGAGCTTAAATTAAATCCCAATTTGATAATTTGGTTAAAGTTTGGGTGACATTTCAAATTTACTTAGTTTCCTCTTTCATTAAAAAAATAATAGCACTTTACAAAAGCTACTGGGATATTAAATGAGAAGATGCTTATAAAATGCCCAGTACCTGGTGAGCACTCATAAATGTTAGCTATTAGGGTCACAGTCATAATTGTAATAGCTGCTTTATAAAATAAGAACTTGATCACTTTATTATTCTTTTGCATAAATCATATGACAATTGTCTGCTAGTCAGTTACAATGCTATCTAAGGCAAGGACCACCATTGGTATTGATTTCAAACCTTATTTGGGGGAAACTAGGGTTTTCCTGCCTGTTGCATGTGTAATTGTCTGGGGTGCCTTGGAGGCAGATATTATAGTGTAAATGGCTTCTTTCCATCAGATTTACTCAGAATTTTAAATGTGAGAAAAACAGTATCACTGGGCCTCCCCGGTGGCGCAGCAGTTGAGCGCTGGGTTGCGAAGCTGCCCACAGCCTCTGCAGCACCGGTTCGATCCCCAGCTGCTCCCCGGCCACCAGAGGAGGGTCCCACATGGCGCACAGACCTCTCCTGCCGCCCGCTGTGCCCCTCAGCAGTGTACTTCAGTCCTTCTGCCTGCTCTGCTTCCTGTTCTGGCTCTGGTGAATTCTCTCACTCTCCCGCGCTTCTAACTGTACCCAGTGCTTGTATAAATAAATAAATCTTTAGAAACAAACAAAAAAAACAGTATCACTACCTGGGGCATCAGCGTTGGGTTTCCAGTTATTAGGCCTATATAGAGGAAGTGGTGAGAATCCGGAATATTTTCAGGATGTCTAGTTAGTTATAATGATACCATAGGGGCACATTTGGTCACAGCTGAGATTCATACAGAGGTGGTTTGGAGATAGGAGTGACTCAGATCTTTTAGCCAGAGCTCACTCCAGGGATGACAGCCATACTCAGGGTCTTTGATTCCAACCTAAGCCATGTAGTTTTATTTCACTAGACATTCCTGGAGAGAGTATTCTTGGTATCATGCTAATAATAGAGTTTTGGCTGAGAAACAAGGACAGAAATAGAGTTCTTGGTCTCATTCATTGACCTCTTAAACACCAACTTGGAAATACTAAGTGGCTACCAATGCCACCCCTCTGTTGGGAGAAAGATAGGTTAAAAAAAAAAAACAAAAAACTGAGTGTGGTCCAGTCAATCTCTCCAAGTATTATTAAGGCTGAAACAGGAACTGGAAAGTAGTTTGCATTTACTGGGGAGGGAATTTCCTTAGCAACTTTTAGTGGTCAAACCAGCATATATAGGTACTTGGTTTTAACTCTAAAAGCAAAATACATAGTTCTAAATGATGACAATACCATCTTGAAAGGCTTTGCAGGACTCCTGACTCACTGAGCTAAGCAAGTAAATGTCTGTGGAGGCATTTTACAAACACAGTAAAACATTAATGAGTACTGAAGTATCGTGAGTACTGAATAGTAGTTTTTTTATGTCTGTGATTCAAAAATGATTCTGTATTCAACCCAGGAAATGTTTCTGTCCAATTAAATTGACTTATATATGAGCTAATCCTTTGAATTAGCTTTTATTAGTTAAAATTGCAGAAATTTGAGCATGTTGTTTGTAGTTGGCATTCCTTATTCCTTGACATGTTGTGATTAAGTGCTTAAGGGTCATTGTGGTATAATACTAAGGAATCTTAAGATTTCATTTTCATACAATATCCGCATGTTTTGCAAATGAGTTTCCTCCAGGCTGATTTCTCTGTGCAGATATAGGTTACATTCCAGAGGTTGATGGATACATAAATTTATAGTTATTCTACAGGGAAAGGAAAGGAGCTAAAAGCATAGTTTATTGTTCTGCTTCTCACTAATGTGACCTTGGGCAAAACAATTTATTGGAAGCTCAGTTAATTCAGCCATTCTTTAGAAATTGCCAGAAACAGGTGTTTTCAAATCTTTGATAGCCTCCAGTTTTGGTGCATATAAGTACCCTGGGCATATTTTTCTGACTGGAAATGAAAAAGACTGTATCCAACCTTAGGACTCACATAGACTAAGAAAATAAGGTAGTATATTAGTTTTCAATTAGTTCCTGCCATTTAAGTGCCCAGCCAGTGGGATATTTAAGTAAAATATTTCCAGCATTTATCTAGAATTTGGGGGGGAGGGAGGGAGAAGGTGGAACCTTTTTCTACTATGTTTCTATGGGTGAAGTCTGTTCATTGCTTTTACAGTATCTCCATGGTGGTTTGGCATGAATGTTTAGCCTCCTTTGAAGTCATATTTCAATCCTGGCAGTAACAAGTAGCAAAGCAAAAGAAACATAGCAAAAGACTGTTGAAAAACTTCAAATGAAATTATGTTGTGATGACATAAACGATCTTAAGAGGTAGAATAAGAATTGGCAAGACAATGATTTATTCTGTACAAGAGTACTGAATAAGGGGCACAACTATAAATAGAAGACTGTAAATACTTCCACAGAATGAAAGGAAGCAATAAGTTTATATAGTGTAGAAGAGTTCTTTTACAATAAACTTTTCACTGAATCCATGTTCATTCAATAATTGTATTAACTATTGTGTGTACATTTTGAAAATGAAGGCAAAGAAAAACTCACAGTAAACATCAACTTCCTAATGAGACATTTGAAGCATTTCCTTTCATTTTTTTAAATTATGTTTATTGAGGTACAGTTGGTTTACATAGTTGCATCTTTGGAAGCATTTCCTTTTTAAAATCAGGCAGAAGGCAAGGGTCTGCTATCTCAACTTCTATTCAGTATTAAGTATTACTGATTAAGTAGTAAGTAGTTCTAGCCATTTTAATAAGATTAAAATCAAAACAGGTATAAAGAAACAAAATTGTCAGGAACACTTACAGATAAATTATAGGGTAAATAGGAATTTTTTAAAGTTGCTAGATATAATTAACAAACTCTACAATACTTTGAATAAATCTAACACAAGGCAAGTGAATCTTTTATAGTGAAAATTATAAAAACTTTATTGGAGAAGAAAAAAGATGGAGACATATAATCTTACTAAGTGAAAAAGACTCTAATTGTAAAGAAGTGGTCTTCCACAAATTAATACAATTTGAGGCAAAATACAATTTTCTTTGACCTTTTTTTAGGGCCTTAGGGTGGGGTGGGAAAATATGACCAACTTAGCCTAAAACTAATTTGGGAAAAATCAAGGTCCAGAATTGGCAAGATAATTTTTTAAATAGGCAGGCTCACTTCTTCCACCAAATATATATAGTTTTATTCAGCAGTAATAATGAAGACCACAGGTACTGGTTCAAGGAGAAACAAATACAACAGTGCAATAGTATAGCATAAAAACTGACCTTTCAGGTTGGAAAAGCCATGACGTAGTTTTTCTGTTTTTCAAGCAAAAATGCGTCATGACTTTTCCTACAACTCCAATATATAGCTGATGGAATTTGGAAGGTGACAGAAATAGCATTACAATGAATGAGGCTATTAGGAACTATTAGAGAAATGGTTGAGGTTGTTGGCTTTTTACATGGAAAAAATTAGACTCTTGTTTCATTCTAAATGAATAAGTTCCAGATGGGTTAGTGGCAACCTAATGTGAAAACAAACTAAGAAGTAGAAGAAAATAGAGCAAACTATCCCAATGCGACTGAAAATAGTATGGATAAACAGAAACCATACTAGCCAGTAATAAAAAGGTAAAAGGCCAAGCTATTTTGTTACAACAAATTAATACAAACTTAGTGGCTTAAAACAACAAAAGTATCTTACAGTTTTGGAGGTCAGAAGTCTGAAATGGGTCTAACTTGGAAAAGTGCTTGGCAGAAAGCTTTCCTGACTAAAAAGGAGAAGAAATGGAGGGAGGGAGGATTACCAAACTTCAAACTATACTATAAAACCATAATGATTAAAACAGCATGGTGCTGGAACAAAAACAGACACAGACCACTGGAATAGAATTGAGAGCCCAGAGATAAAACCTGATAAGCTCAAACCGATAAAGCTTCCTCATATCCCATGCTGCCAGCTGTCACTCAAGCATAGAAAGTTTCTCATACAAACTGTTTAAAATCTTACCATTCCTGCTAGTCGGGGCTCAGTCTTTGGGAGCTATCCCCTAAGCCTGCAGGTGTGTTGAATAAACCTTTCTATCTCTCCATCTCTCTGAGTGCCTTCTGGTTTCTCCGAAAAATTGCCATTAAACAGTTGTAGCAAAACAACTTCAGTCTATCACCTCAAGGCAAAGCTAGAATATATTTATAGCCCTTATAAAGAACTCTTTCAAATTAATTGTGAGGGAAAAAGGTTGTTTTTTTTTTAAAGACTTATTTATGCATACGAGAACTGGGGTGTAAGCTAAAGGTGTGGGAGATGAGAGGATTCACCAGACGGAGTGGGGAGAACAGGCGGGTCTACTGAAATACACTGCTGAGGGGAGCAGCGGGCAAGGCAGGAGAGGTCTATTGTACCATGTGGCTAGTTCCCTGGCCAGGGATCGAACTTGTGCTGCAGTGGCTGCCAATAGCATCATAGCACTGTGTCTTAAACCCTGCACCACCAGGGAGCCCCGAGAAAAAAAGGTTTTTAATTTTAGAAGTTTGCTTTTTCAGCAGAGGATATAAATGCCGTTCACAGAAGGGAGAAAAATAGCTATAAGGCCATACCTCACTAGTGATCAAGTAAATTAAACCAAGATTAAACCAAGAATTAGATAATATTGCATTACTTTCGATACA